CCTCCATCTACCCCCTCCTCCTCCCCTCCATCTACCCTCTCCTCCTCCCCCTCCATCTACCCCTCTCCTCCCCTCCATCTACCCTCTCCTCCTCCCCCTCCATCTACCCCTCCTCCCCTCCATCTACCCTTTCCTCCCCTTCCATCTACCCCCACCTCCTCCCCCTCAATCTACCCCCACCTCCCCTCCATCTACCCCCTCATCCCTCTCATCTACCCCCTCATCCCCTCCATCTACCCTCTCCTCCCCTTCCATCTACCCCCACCTCCTTCCCCTCCATCTACCCCCTCCTCCCCTCCATCTACCCCATCCTCCCCTCCATCTACCCCATCCTCCCCTCCATCTACCCCCTCCTCCTCCCTCCATCTACCCCCACCTCCCCTCCATCTATCCTCTCCTCCCCTCCATCTACCCCTCCTCCCCTCCATCTATCCTCTCCTCCCCTCCATCTACCCCATCCTCCCCTCCATCTACCCCATCCTCCCCTCCATCTACCCCCTCCTCCTCCCTCCATCTACCCCCACCTCCCCTCCATCTATCCCCTCCTCCCCTCCATCTACCCCTCCTCCCCTCCATCTATCCTCTCCTCCCCTCCATCTACCCTCTCCTCCCCTCCATCTACCCTCTCCTCCCCTCCATCTACCCCATCCTCCCCTCCATCTACCCCATCCTCCCCTCCATCTACCCCCTCCTCCTCCCTCCATCTACCCCCACCTCCCCTCCCATCTTCCCTCTCCTCCTCCCCTCCATCTACCCCATCCTCCCCTCCATCTACCCCCTCCTCCTCCCTCCATCTACCCCCACCTCCCCTCCATCTATCCTCTCCTCCCCTCCATCTACCCCTCCTCCCCTCCATCTATCCTCTCCTCCCCTCCATCTACCCTCTCCTCCCTCCATCTACCCCCTCCTTCCCTCCATCTATCCTCTCCTCCTCTCCATCTACCCCTCCTCCCCTCCATCTACCCCCTCCTCCCTTCCATCTACCCTTTCCTCCCCTCCATCTACCCCTCCTCTCCTCCATCTATCCTCTCCTCCCTTCCATCTATCCTCTCCTCCCCTCCATCTACCCCTACTCTCCTCCATCTATCCTCTCCTCCCTTCCATCTATCCTCTCCTCCCCTCCATCTACCCCTCCTCTCCTCCATCTATCCTCTCCTCTTCCATCTATCCTCTCCTCCCCTCCATCTGCCCTCCATCTACCCCTCCTCTCCTCTCCTCCATCTACCCCTCCTCTCCTCCATCTATCCTCTCCTCCCCTCCATCTATCCTCTCCTCCCCTCCATCTACGCTCCATCTACCCCTCCTCTCCTCCATCTATCCTCTCCTCCCTTCCATCTATCCTCTCCTCCCCTCCATCTACCCCCTCCTCCCCTCTCCTCCCCTCCATCTACCCTCTCCTCCCACCATCTACCCTCTCCTCCTCCCCTCCATCTACCCCTCCTCCCCTCCATCTTCTATCCTCTCCTCCCTTCCATCTACCCCCTCCTTCCCTCATCTACCCTCTCCTCCCTCCATCTACCCCCACCCCCCCTCCATCTACCCCCTCCTCCCTCCATCTACCCCCTCCTCCCTTCCATCTACCCCCTCCTCCCCTCCATCTACCCCCTCCTCCCTCCATCTTCCCCCTTCTCCTCCCCTCCATCTACCCCCACCTCCCTTCCATCTACCCTCTCATCTACCCCCCCCCTCCTCCCCTCCATCTACCCTCTACTCCTCCCCCTCCATCTACCCCCTCCTCCTCCCCTCCATCTACCCTCTCCTCCTCCCCCTCCATCTACCCCTCTCCTCCCCTCCATCTACCCTCTCCTCCTCCCCCTCCATCTACCCCTCCTCCCCTCCATCTACCCTTTCCTCCCCTTCCATCTACCCCCACCTCCTCCCCCTCAATCTACCCCCACCTCCCCTCCATCTACCCCCTCATCCCTCTCATCTACCCCCTCATCCCCTCCATCTACCCTCTCCTCCCCTTCCATCTACCCCCACCTCCTTCCCCTCCATCTACCCCCTCCTCCCCTATCTACCATCTTCCCCTGCCCTCTAGTTTTGCACTACCGCGTGTAAAATTTCTATGCTATTCCATTTGCACTCAACAATTAATTACAAATTTACAATATGGAATTTGGCATCTCATTTTGCCTTCATTGGCACACAATCACACACATACACTCCTGCATGCCCCTTTTTCTCATGGTAGACTATGCTATCTCCTACTACTGGATGACATTTGCGTACCTTCTATTACATTTCATTTTGCACTATAGTTTTCATCTTGATAAAGTGAAACCCTGATTATCAGATTGGCACTGTTATCAGGGAGATCAACAAAGAAGGAGATTGGAGGAGGAGGTAGACCCACTGGAAATGTCAAATTGCAAAGTAAAACTTTGAAATATCGGTTTGAAAATTATCAGACATGTTCAAATGGTTGCCAGCTAACCTCTATTCTTTCTTACACTTGAAATTTTTTATTTCTGACATAATGAAATACAGAAATATGGCTAAGTTGAGTGAAAAAGGCTGCTTTTTCGAACGTCAAATGAACGTCTTAAGTTTGAGCAAGTCTGTGACAAAGATGAATGTTTTTAATGTTTAATGAATTAGATGTACCAGATATTTATGTGTAGTGGTAGCGAGCACTAGGATCTGATTTAATGAATTTTACGTTTCTGGTCTTTTTGTTTGGCCTAAAATCATGTGAAGATACATTTTGATTGTTTAATATTTGGAATATAGAGCCGCTGAACTTAAATTAACAAATTTGGAATATAATAACTTTCGAGAAGTCATTACTTATTCCCCCTGTCAAACAAATATAATAATGCTGTCGGCATATAGCCCATCTTTGTTGCCCGTCAAAATGTATAAAAGAGGGTATGTGTGTTACACTTGTTAGATTTGCTTACCAGCTGACACAGCAGAAATCATGGCTTCACATTTTTTTTCTATTTAAGCGTTGTAGAACTGATCATGAATCAGTTATTGTTATAATTTTTGTACCAACTGACAATATGTAGTGATATGAAAATATTGTTGTAAAGTTTATTTATATTTTTGACCACCGATATTTAAAAAAAATATGATCCATAAACCAAATAATCAGAAATACAAAGCCCAAGTATGTTACCCTATCTATTCTCATTTTCTCCATCAACCCATGTATCTCTGATCACATCAATTGTCGACACAAATGAGACCATTCAGCATCAGTCAATAAGGAACCTTCATCTAGAAGTGGAAACCATCCTGACTGAATGCATGTCATATTTGACATGGAAGCAGGTCAGAGTGACTCAGATGCACTATCTACACCGCAGAGGGAGATTCAGCTGGAAATTTACTCCCATATAAGGTCAACCTCCATCAGATCACAACAGTGCATATTTATGATGAAGCGTGTGTTGAAAACCCAGGGATAACATTGATGCCTCTATACAGTTGACAGCTCATGAACATTCTAACCACTCCACACACTACTTTTCATGACTTGAAAAGTATTTTTTGAATAAACAACTTGAAAGTCAATCTCCCTAGCTCAGGCCATCTTCCTGTTGAGGGGGGACTCCGGAGGGGAGTTATGAAAGAAGACAGTCTCTGCCACTGAAACCTTACAAGCCAAAATCTACATCTGCCAATTTCGGGTCAGTGGAATTTCATGAGGCTTGAATAAGGAGAGTTGTGCAATGTATGCTGAGGAAGTCTCGTTCCTTGCCAGCCTTGGTGGCTGATGTAGTCGGGGATCTGATTGGTAGACTGTCATCCCATGCTTCGTTAACATTGATGGGCTGTGCTGTTGATTTATTTTGTTTTCTTTTGTGTTTATTCATTTTCTCTTGTGATGGATTTGAAGGGGATTCGGTTTCTTAGTGAATGCTTCTGTTTCGATTTTGTAGGAAAGAGTTGCAGAATCAGGACAAGCCCACTTGAAGCTCTATAATACATGCTTTAAGTCATTGATTAGGAAAAGTACCAAAAACATTCAGAGTTGGGAAAAAAGGATGATGAGTTTGTTTTTACTCCACTCTAGCATCTAATGGAGTAAAGTTGGAAGGCATTACATCATTTCTACATCAGCTCAGAATCTCAGTTGTTTACAGCCTTCTGTTTGGGAATATTTATCAGTATTCTTAATAAAATGTTGTTTAAAATTCCATTTGTCAAAGTTTATTAATACAACACTTATGAGAAGTGTACTGAAAACTATGAGACAAGACTATTGAAAAAAAAATGAAAATAGAAATATCTTTTTAAAAATAGAATCAATGACTAAATTTGTTATTGCGTTGAGGTTATCGTCATATATTCTTCTGTATAATACACACCTACCTTTTGGTGGTTGACTGACATTGTATTAAGCACCAAGTTCCATGTGTACCCCGTTGTGTTTTTTCATATTCTTGGTAGGGAAAAAATAAAAAATATTCCTCCCAATCACTTTTGTTTAAAAATGAAAGTTATTAGCTCCTACCACCCTCCTCAATGAGAAACATTGAAATTTTTATGCAGCCTAAACAGTTGATTAAATTGGCCTATTAAACTAACATATTTAAAATTTGGCATTTTTGTAATGTAGATCATGTATATTGCACTTTTCACATTAAATAAATCACATGCTTTTCAATTCTGTGGGGTATCATTTACATCACAAAATGGGAAATAATAACTGCAACCTGTTCCTTGTTCATTAATACACCTTTTGATACAGCTCTATGGCCATTGTATGATTATGAATGATCACTCATCCCGGAATGTATGCTGTGTTTTTGCGAATGGATTAAGTACCGATGACTCACGGTTGTGGGCGGAGGTGTACATTTTCACGTTAGAAATCTGAACTTTGTAATTCTATCTTTGGGTGGAGCCCATTGTTCACAGCACTGAGAGATATTTAACTTGAAAGACCCTCAACTGATGGCAGAAAGGGGGCATTGCTCGCCTTACTTGTTTACCAAAGTCTGTTTCAACTTACAAGAGATGGGACCTATTCCGCTTTGTTTTTTCAGTTGATTCTGTTTCCCAGCAACTAGAGGTCATAGTTCATGAAAGGGCACCTGCAGGGGTTTGGGTACTACACTCTGGCATTGTGCAGACATATGAAGTGGTGGATTTCTCTCTACATGTAAGTAAAATTCCCTCTAGCTAAAACAGCCTTAGTGCCCTCTTTACCATGTCATAAATGTTTAGTTTTTAAATTAATTAAAATGCCTTTCCTCTTGTGTTCTGAAGTTTTCTAGTGTTCATTTTGCCAAATTATTTGCGTTTTCTCTTTTAAAAAATTCATGATACATCGCTGTAAGTTTTAAATCAGTAGTATTTTTGTGGTCAAAGTTTATAAACACCTGTCTTGCACCCTAGTGTCATGTTTGGTGGTTCAAATGACTAATATGCTACAGATACATTATAATGGCGACGCAAAAGCTGAAGAGGTAACGTCAAAGAGCAGACAACTCTAATTACATACAAATTTAGAATTTCTATTTTTATATCTTTGCTCATGTTGTACTTTTTTATGTGAATATTCCTCAAAAATGTACTTTCAAATTAATACTTCAAAATGTACCTTGGAATATTTTTGTGATCTCGTAGCGTCATGATATAACTCTGAAAAGGTAGTGATGTTGAATGGCATGCCTAAGCATGGTGAGCGGGCACTGTGTGCAGTCTGAATGCCTTGTGGCTAATGTACATGTGCACTATGAAATTCCTCACATGCCATGTCAAAGCAAAAATCCCCGCATATCAGGTTTTGAAACTTATGCCAGGAGAGACATGGTGGCTATATTTCTGTGGATCAAATCATTTATATGCCTGGAAATGAAGCAAGAACTTCGTAATTTGTAAAAGAAAACTGGATACAATGAAATCAACAAGTGTATGTTTTCAGTGGACGATAAATAGTCACATTGTTGCCTTGGTATTTGAAGGAATATTTTCTAGTTATATTTATGCGTACCAGATAACTGTAATCTACTGTATTAGATTAAGAACGGAGTGAAGTTATGGAATACATATATTGTCAGGAATCAACATTTGAATTTAAATAAACATTGTCATTTGCTCATTTTACGTTTTATCATACAAGAAAGCTGCAGGTCGTCACACTGATCATGAAACTCGCACTACCTGTATTGTACCTGTCGGGATATTGATTATCAATATGGTGATGTATATATGTTTCAGGATCATGACAAGATCAACAGACTGGTTGTGAATTATTCGGATGGGGATTTAGAGGAATATTTCAGCAAGTCAAGGTGAGTGAAATTATTCCCAGATAATTATTCAGGACATGTGGCGTGATTTATGTGTGTAGTTATTAGTATCAGATTGATGGAAGTTGATAAATTTGTTATGCATATGAATGCCCCTGATTTATTGCATGTATTTTGGAGGGTAAAAATGCATTTTTTTGTTCAGTTGATCATGCTGATATTTTAGTTTGAGAAAGGATAACTTTACAGTCACTCCTTCAAAACATGCAGTTTTTGTGAATGGAGGAGTAAAAGAAATTTTTTTAATATTCTAGGACATCCAGCAAGTCCAACAATTTATTTATTTGGGTAAAAATTAGAATAAATTATCAAAATCACAGCCCCCCAAACCCAGAAAAACAAATGGTTTATCCAAAAGGAGAACAGGAATATAAATGTCAGTATCGGTATTAGTCAAAGTGATATTTAGGTGCAGTTTAAACCTTTATGCCTGTAATGATCTTTAAAATGACCTTGTTGCATGTGAGATATCCATTGTAGGAGGGGATAGCATGTCTCTACCATGTCAGGTGCTGTAAGGACATCCTAAGTTAAACATTAGCCTGTACTACCGAGAATCAGTGTGTTGGGGCACCTCTACCACAAGAACTAATTGATAAAAAACCCATCTGCTGGAGGAAATGGCAGGCATGAGGCAAGCCATGGTTACATGACTGATAGTAAGCTTGTGTCATGTGTCATTAATTTGTAATGGACATATCTCACTGTGTTCAAATTATGAACATGTTTCATTTTCTCTTGTTTATTCTCACCAAATAACTCATCCAGTTCATTTTTTCAAAATAATGGACCTAGTTCATTTTCTCCAAATAATAGACCTTGTTCATTATTTCCAAATAATGGACCCAGTTCATTTTCCCCAAATAATGGGCCTTTTTCATTTTCTCCAAATAATGGACCTAGTTCATTTACCCCAAATACTGGACCTAGTTCATCTTTTCCAAATACTGGACCTAGTTCATTTTCCCCAAATAATGGACCTAGTTCATTTTCCCAAATAATGGACCTAGTTCGTTTTCCCCAAATAATGGACCTAGTTCATTTTCCCCAAATAATGGAACTAGTTCATCTTTTCCAAATAATGGACCCAGTTCAGTTTCTCAAGATAATGGACCCAGTTCATTTTCTCCAGATAATGGACAGATTTCAGTGCAGTCACTTGTATTATGATTAAAGGACATTATTTGTGTCAAACAATAAACTGACAGACCTCACTATCCACAGAATGGGCATTTTGATAATTGTGGACATCATTGAATAATGGTGTGCTACTAATGGACAATTTTCAGTGTGTCTATCTGAAGGCCCAATCTCACTGCTGCCAGATAGTCAATGAGTTTATGTCTCTTGTGCCTATTGACTTGGCCTCTCAGCTTGTCTGAGTGTTTCCCTGTGTGGCAGCGTCCCCCATGCATGGACTGCCTTAGGGCTATGTACCTGCATAACTACAACTGTTGTTTTGTTTCATAATGAAGGGAAATGTACTAACACCCCCATGCATGGACTGCCTTAGGGCTATGTACCTGCATAACTACAACTGTTGTTTTGTTTCATAATGAAGGGAAATGTACTAACACCCCCATGCATGGACTGCCTTAGGGCTATGTACCTGCATAACTACAACTGTTGTTTTGTTTCATAATGAAGGGAAATGTACTAACACCCCCATGCATGGACTGCCTTAGGGCTATGTACCTGCATAACTACAACTGTTGTTTTGTTTCATAATGAAGGGAAATGTACTAACACCCCCATGCATGGACTGCCTTAGGGCTATGTACATGTACCTGCATAACTACAACTGTTGTTTTGTTTCATAATGAAGGGAAATGTACTAACACCCCCATGCATGGACTGCCTTAGGGCTATGTACATGTACCTGCATAACTACAACTGTTGTTTTGTTTCATAATGAAGGGAAATGTACTAACACCCATCTCTTCATTTTTATTCTTTTGAAATTTGTTTTTGAGTTGAATCTTGGTTTTTTTTAACGTGCAAAAAATAGGATTTTAAGGCAAATCTACCTATCTTTATTTTATTTACTGTTTTGAGCTCAAAGTAGTTGATCCACAAACTGAAAAAAATTAAGAAATTGGATTTCTTTGTTAAATTATCATGATGTACAGTGTATATGAGAAATTGCAAGTGTGGTGACATTCTGGGTTGGCCTACTGTAGTTATATGATGGTATTGTTTGGAAATGAATCACAATGAAGCAAAGCATGCAATCATTATTGATATAATTTAGTGACACTTACGAGGCCCCAAACTTCCAGACAGTCTGGCTATAACACTGACATGGATATAGCCAGTTAGTAGGATGCTGGGTATAGTTGCAGGAAATTGGAAAATGTGTCCCTAGATTTAATTGTGCATTAATTGTTACTGATTGTCATGTTGTGTTTTTGCTACAATGTATGAAAAACATTGTACAACAGGTTAATGGGTTTCAGTTGAATGTCCACATTCAGGTTTCTACACCACGCACACATGTGTGTCCAGTACGAACAAATGTAGAGAATGGACACAGAAATACAATATGCTGCATCTCAAGGGATGCACAATAATATCATTGCACCTACAGCATATCAAGAGAAATTAAGGGTGTCTGTTATTTCGTCCATCAATCGTGACCACTGTCCACATGATCATTGATTCATTCCAGGCTCTAAAGTAATTAGCAAAATGTACAGTACACGCCAGCATTTCATTACTTTACAGGACCCTGCAAGGACCTGCAAGGCCCCTTAAAATTAATTTAGTAAGTGAAGGTGAAACCCTGGTTATGTTATACAAGAACTAGTGTTGTCATAGCAGAACATGTTCTTTCACATTGTGTTCAGTGGAAATAATGTCACATTTTGTGCTTTATTTTTAAACACCCAGAAACTGTTGCCTATGGACTAACATCTAGTATCTAAAATGAACATTTAGCTCCAATATTGCTGACTATTTTCAGGGTGCTGTGATATAGCTGCAATAGTGCTGACTATTTTCAGGGTACTGTGATATAGCTGCAATAGTGCTGACTATTTTCAGGGTACTGTGATATAGCTGCAATAGTGCTGACTATTTTCAGGGTGCTGTGATATAGCTGCAATAGTGCTGACTATTTTCAGGGTACTGTGATATAGCTGCAATAGTGCTGACTATTTTCAGGGTACTGTGATATAGCTGCAATAGTGCTGACTATTTTCAGGGTGCTGTGATATAGCTGCAATAGTGCTGACTATTTTCAGGGTGCTGTGATATAGCTGCAATAGTGCTGACTATTTTCAGGGTACTGTGATATAGCTGCAATAGTGCTGACTATTTTCAGGGTACTGTGATATAGCTGCAATAGTGCTGACTATTTTCAGGGTGCTGTGATATAGCTGCAATAGTGCTGACTATTTTCAGGGTGCTGTGATATAGCTGTAATAGTGCTGACTATTTTAAGGGTGCTGTGATATAGCTGCAGTATTGCGAAACAACAATCCAACAAGTTTTTTTTATTAATTGCTCAGTCATGAAATTAAATCATTTTGACAAATATTACAAAAATAGAGCTTTAGGTTCCTTAAAACATGCAAACACAGGCAAATTAACATAGTGTATGGAAAATAGTACTTAGTTATAGCAAACAATAAATATTTATTTTCAATTCAACAATGCACCTCAGGTGCTTGGATGTTTCTAACTGTTTGTTTAATGTTGTAATAAATCTGCTGTTCTCAAAATAACCAACTTGCAAAATAGTAATGTGTGCCATACACTTAAGTAGTGCCTATGTTCAAACGTGTTCTGAATGACAAAAGTTAACTGTTGTCTTTGTAGCAGTTCTTCGTGAAAATAAAATCGCTTCTAATTCACTATGTAATATAAATTGGAATCCTGCAAAACAGCATGACTGTCCTCAGTTTGTCTAGGGTTTAAAACTTGAATGCTGGTGTGAGTCAGTTTCCCCCGACAAGGAAGTATCAACTGTAACCGACACGGCTAACAAGATCCCTTCGTCCCATGTAGTAGAATGGTGCGTGGCAACAGGTGTGAGGTGTGTGACCTTATGGGTGTGTAGTGTGTGTGTTGACCATGTTAATACCTCGGTAATGAGTTGTTTGATGTACACCTTGTGCATCTACCTGGGACTGATCATGCTCACCTGTGGGTCAAAGTTCAGACCACCTGTATTGCAACTGGATGTAGTGATCTGTGATTTGTATTCTTACAGCAAGTATTTATATTTATGATTTTACATCTTTTGCAAGTGTTTTTCATATGATTTGTCACACATATTGATTTGTGACATTGACATTTATAGAGGTTTAGCTGAGGAAGGAATAGCCACACTGAAGTAGGATGACAACCAGTTGGTACTTGTTCAAAAGTTGGCCACTCACAAATAGAACTTGTCGGTTTTCAAAATGTTCTTGAACACTCAGTGAGAAAAACATTTTTCTTTTGTGAGATTATTCTAAATTATACTGTTTTTGAAAGGGATTTCAATACCAAGAATGTTTTGCCTTACTTTCTGGCAGTTATAACCAACATCGTACAATGTATCTGTTTCATTTAAAATGACAACATGATAAGAATCAAATCTGGAGACTTATTCATACTTTCTGCACTGTTGTTTCTGTAAATGATATAGATCTGTTGAATAAAAATGAAAATAAACTTCCATTTAGGGACATTTTAATGAATAGTGTAGATGTTTCCTGGAATACCAGGAATCCTTGCAGAGTCCTGTTATAGCAGGAACCTAGACAATGGTTTCACGATGTGACTTTGAAGAGGTATTGTGTAGGCTGGCGTTGTCTTGGAGTTGGGCATTATCGGGCGTGGATTGGACCAGAAAGAGGCTTATACAGAACCCCACTGACACCCCCTATTTGTTTTCTCCTCAGCTGGAAGCACGCTTTCTCTGAACCAGGTGTTTACAAGGTGTCCGTGACCATATATGGAAATGGCACCGCGACCAAATTACAGTCATACATTACAGCACAGAGGCCAATCAGAGCAGTCCGAATTGAAGGACCCTCGGCAATCAAAATCGAAAAGTAAGTTGCATGCTTTGGTTTATATCAAGTTTCATATTATTAGGGTGTAATATCATTTAGATGTTCCTTGGTGGGTAACGGGAGCATATTTCACTTGAGATATGGATTGGGGCCATTCCATGCTATTGTTTGCTTTCTCTCTGGTGGAATAATATTACCAGGACCCGACCGTTACCAAGAATCCATGCTTTCTAAAGGTCAGTCAGATTGCCAATGTTGGAACAGCAATGGCTTGTGAGATATGTTGTTAGTTTCATATCTTAAATTATCCAAAGGGTTTACTTGGCATATTTCTTTTATGTTTGATTATTATGTATATGTAGCTGTTTTAAATTTATTTCGTATATCGGTTATTTTTGTAATTTTGAGTTATTTATTTATGAATAACTATTAAGTTCAATAAAAGATAAAAGTGTTTCGCCTCCATCTGATTGTTGGGGTCTGTCAACATTTTATGTTTATTTTGGATGTTTATTAATTTGACTTGGACTATCATCATTCAGTCTGTAGGCTTGTTTCAAAGTTTCTTTTCTTTTGCCAGTTGTGACATATTTTCAATTTGCTCTGTCAAGTATTAGGTTGTCCCAACAGTTAACAGCTCTGTAGGCCTGGATCTACTATTAACTTAATCCCTTTCGTAACATGACTCCAGACATGACGAAATGAAAACAATATCCATACCTGGGTATGCATTGCCGTCTATTTCAGTCCACATTACTCTCAATTAAGCTGTAGGCTAGAATAACTAGTAACATTTGGTAATCGATTTCGGCATTGTGTTTCCTAATCATGATTTATTGAGAACATCCTCGTAATTACACATGCTACATGCAGTTCCTGTTGGCTGACTTAAGACAACCCACATGAAGAAATGTCTTTCATGTCAAGCTTGCAATGAATAATTCCAAAATTACTTTTATAAGGATTAAAAATACATCAAACTTGGCAACTGTGGATGTGTAGACTTGACAAACCATGTGTCCCCCAGATGTCTGGAATCTTTGAAGGTTCATTAATGTTGTTGAATTTGGTTCAACTGGAGCCATTTTCATTTTCATTTTGGATTTTGTCATTTGAAACAGTTATTTGAATGGTTTGAAACATTTCCATTGCCAGAAGGATTCTGATTGTATGTGACAAACTGACAGGTCTAGTCAGTTCTAATTCTTGTTAAGCCTAACCTTGAAAGACGCTGCCCATTTTTATAAAAATGTTGTTCTGATTTATTCCAGTTCAGTTTCTTTAAGCTGCCAGAGACAGTGACATTGACAGCAAATTAATGAAATGTATGTGCGTCCATTTCTTGGAGTAATTAATTGGGAAACAGACATGTTGTAAGTTGGAGTGGGATGCAAGTCTACAACATGTGGAGGGATCAGGTGGTTGCTCGGGTCTACCTTCATTACAAATTAAGACAGCTTAGTGCATGTTCGGCTGGAAATAACCTAATATGCTTTGATAAGGCCCAATGATGGGGCTGGTGACGGGACGATTACTGTAGTCGTTATTAGGTTTTAGAGGAGAATCCTGGCCATGTGCGTACACTTTATGGACAGTGGTTCGGATACTGTTCCCTGTTTTTGCCTCCCTTGTACAAAGAGAGGAAGATTGCTTGATGATTATTCTCGTTAGCAATGATTGATTGAAACTAACGTCCACCAAGTAGGGGCTACTCATTTTCATCTCGCATCTATTGTTAGACCTGGTGATTGATTTGATTGATAATTATGATTGAAAAGTGACCAAAGTTGTGTTTTTCATTATGATGCTGGCCTTTTTATGATCACAAGTACATTGACCCCTATCGAAACATTAGTGGATTTTATGGCCAAATTGAGGAAGGGCAAAATAATTTCAAAATCAGATATTGAATTTTTCTTTTGAAAGTTTTGCTGTTAATGAACTGCCTTTCTTTGAAGGAGTGATTTATCCTTCAACTTCATTCAATTTACTGCGAGTCTATCAAAAGCAGTTTTGTGATTGAGAAACGAAATGTTTCATGTTTTGGAAACTGTCAGTTGCACAGTGCAAGAGTAAGTCAAGGGGTGTGTAGCATCAGTGTATTTGAGATCACTGTACAGTGTAACCAGCATTGATTTGAAGGTTGAATAATTTAGGAACGGGAAAGTTTGTACTTGGCCTCTGTGAACCGAGTCTTGATTAGATCAGTCAGATCATACAGATGCAGCTCGTGATAAGTCTGATCGCCAAATTTACATTTGATTGAATAAAGAATTTTCATTAATGTGGAAAACTTCAGCTATACATTGAAAGTTCTCTCCATTTTATCTCATTTACTGACTATAGAGTTAACTTTTCAGGTTATATATTTTGATTAATGACAATAAAAGATTTGTTTTAAATTTGTCTTTCTAAATTGTATCAGTTAAGTCGAACATGACTTTTAATCACAATGTGGTTTTATAAACTTATCTGTAAATAAAATATCTATGTGACTCTTCCAGTGTTTAAGCATACCTCTGTCAGATATATGTTCTTGTTATCTCTGGCTCTCTATCAGATACAGGGGGACTGTTTCCCCACTGATATTTGCTCATTGTAACTGTAATCCTTCATCTAAACAACCCTTGTAGGTCGTGTAAGTGATCTACACAAAATTACTGGCATTGCAGCAGATACCCCAACAAGCAGACATCAAATTGGCCGACTGGGCGGCCATTTTGTTTTTCTAGAAATTCCCCATCTGAGAATTGGTCTTGGATGTTTTTATACAAACTTGAACATCTGAGATCTGTCATGATTCTTGCTTCAGAGACTTCTAATTGGCATCCTAGGCAATAGACACCAGCTATTGGTACATTTCACCCATGGAGGTGGTTAGCATCACAAATGTGTTTATTTGAACAGAGTCTGAGAGTCTGTTTTTGCACTGTTTTGACACCTTTCATTGATTTGGCTTCCCAGTGTTAATGAATCAAGAACCTTTGTTTTGATCAAATCATTATTTGCCGATATATTTAATTCATCAACTTGTGAATTATTCAGAAGCTAAGCACAGACAACCTTTTCCAATGCATACACATTGCATTGCAGGAAATAAATCCATTATTTTCATATACTGATTCAAATAAACACTGTGATTAGTTGAATGTATGCATATAATTGAGATGTGATATTATTCTATACAGGAGTAGGAAGAGTTCTTCACTGTGAACACAGACCATTATAATCATGGATAATGTTTTTTTTTTAATATTCCCCTCATAAAATTCTTCAGCAGTGCAACTAATTGCATTTTGGGCTTCACATAATTCTGGTACTGAAACTTGAAATTTACCACCGACATTATAGAGACTGTCAGTGGTAATGTGAACGTCAGTGACATTGCAGTGCTAGAAAGTGTGTTCTTGAAGCAGTTGGTGCCATATGGCGCCTGTAAACACTTGATACCGTTTTATCTGGGACAACGGCAAGTGCAGCTTCAATTAGCTACAGCCCAATTCTATTTTAATCTGACTTTCTGAATGTGGAATCTGTAGGGACTTGTTGGAGAAGTTGGTGCTGTCAATGCCGTGTCCTCCACAGGTGATTACAGTAAAATACTATAGGAAATTCAGGGCACACATCAATGTCACATGGATGGATGCGTTGTATTGTGTAAATGGAACCTGACATTTTGAATATATCAGGAATGCTATGTCTCTGTTGTAATGTCTTAAAATCGAGGCCTACTCTCCTTGTGGAGGTACCTTTTAAACAATTTACGATGACTAGTGAAAAATTTGAAGTGACTGTGAAAGTATCCAGGGATCCAGACATGACAGGGAAGTGTTTGCTGGTTCTTTACGTTTTTGCTGGATCTGACAGTAAGACAGAGCATTAACAAACTTCTGGGCAGTTTGAAGAGAGTTGACGGGCAAGTTGTTGCAGGATGTGTGTGATGCCTCATATCCATGTTCAATTCTGTTGTGACAGAAATAGGAGCTGCAGGGTCATTCTATTGAACTGAGTAATTAATAAGTTTCAATAAGCCCATTGCGACTTGCTCAACTCGTTCACAGGTTAAGGTGATATATAGAGCCCACATGGCGAGACCAGATCTACATGTTGGGGCTCGCAAGCCGCTTGTCTAAACACTCGCTTCACACTCAAACGATGTGGAGCAAGTACTGGGTGCCAGAACAGTAAAGGCGGCCTCCATGCACCCGTAAGGCATACCATGTTTATTGTGAAAACAGTCAGTTTTGTCGAACAGGAAGTGAACTTCTCCTTGCTGTGAGGTCAAAACAGACTTGAAGCTCACATCGGGGGCGATGTGTGCCGCCAAACTTCGGAAGGGAATTTATTTTGAAAGGGAGCAAATTCTTAGCAACGGCAAAATGTGATGTCGATTGGGTTGAAAGCTGTGAACAATCTTGTGAACTGACGTCACCCTGTATTCATGCTGTATCAGGAACAGTTGGCAGTGACCCCATAAAAATGACACTCACATATTCTTCTGACCCCCGCACCCTTTCCTCTTCCGTTGGTGGTGAAAGTGATTCCATTGTCTCGAATAACGTTGGCCGTCTTGCAGAGAGGGTGATGGGGGCATAATGCAAACTAAAATCAACCCCATTTGGTATACATCTTGAATCAGTTGGGACAAAAACAGAGCACAACTTGTTCCTTATTAGGAAGTCCTGGCTTGGCCACCATTGGTTAGAACATGTCTTAGCTCTGCACTTACTACTCATTGTTCCGTGTAGCCCCGGTCGAGCTGGCCACATTTTCCAGACCTTGGAATATTATTTTCCATGTGAGGAATATTCATTGATTTAGTGTGCAAATGCTTAAGGACAATTCATTTGGACATTTTAAATTGGAAGACTCTTTAGCTTGATGATTGGTTCATCTTGATGACTGTTGGTAGATAGTGGTGATATCAGGTGGATGTGCCAGGACGAGGTCAGTGTTTCAATCTCTCTGGACAGGTGACTTTCGGGATTTACCATCGGAGAAAGTAAGGATTCATGCGAAAAGGTGGATGTGAATGTGCATCATCATGCTATCATGTTTCAGTTTAATCTCATCTATGAATAACTATGACAATCAATGTTAGTTTTATGGCTGGAAATAAAGTAACAAACAAATTGTACACATTTATGCTATTTCATTTCATGAAATCATCTTGAAGCATTCAATTCTAATCCAAATGTTTGATAAAGCTTAGAATTGTGAAAGAGTGAAGATGTCATTTCAATCCTTTCCTACATTGTGAATAGGAGACTGTTTTACATTTTTGATACCAGCCATGTTTAAATTTGGATTTTTAATCTTGCTAGCATTGATTATAGCCTTCTTGATTAAGAAATCTGGTTTACAATTGATACTTGTAGAATGAAATTTAAGATGGTGTGGAGATGGTGCTTGCCAAAGTGAACCTGCGGGTATTATGAAAGGTAGTAGTGGAATTGCCTGCCTGGAAGTCCCATGAAATAACTACTTAGGGTGTGTATTTCTACTGCTACTGTGCATCTGAAGCAGTCTTCATTTTCAAAAAGTGTAGGGTTCCAGAAACAAGATGGAATGTGAAATAGCTTCCATGCTTTGTTATTTCAAGAGATGTGGCTTTGCTGAGGAGGTTGCTTCAGTCCTCGAAGCACATTTATAAGGGATGTAGACCACTAGTCTGTAGTGTATACTTCCTGTGTTGCATTGTGGGTAGATGAACAGCAAAAATGTTGTTTCCAACATTTTCTCATTATGCAGGGATTTAATGCCATTTTTAATGTTTTAAATTTTTTCTAAAGTGCTTTAAATAGTCCTTTGTAGGTTTTTGCTTAAATGTATAAGTTCAAAAATATCTAAACCATCAATAATTTTATCATCTTGTAATAGATGCAACAGTGGTGAATGTCACTTCTTTTTATTTGTCTACATTATGCAGATTCAAGAAGCTAGGTTCTCTATCATGCATATACCCCTCAAGGAACAAACAAATATCATTACAAGTGATGGTGATGTGATAATAGGCATTGAAGTGCACCTTAAACAATGTTTGCTAGTATGAATAATCAAATATTGTTTTCTGTTTCTGGTCATATCTAGTTGCATGTCAGACAAAAATGTAGTGCCATATCAAAATATTTTACATGTCAACTCATTGCTTGAAACAAATTTGTAACGTGAAAGCCAAGAAAGTTTGTAAAGCAATCCTTTCCACCTGTCTCAAATGGCTCTTAACCAGACATGCATGTTAATTGATCTGTCTCTTTCACCTACCGACTACTGTTGCCCCTAAGCTGAAGCAGTATTCTTGTAAAATCATTTATCTTCCTCAAGGAAAGACTTAATTTTAGCATCTTGTTAGCAGTAGGTGTTATTAGGTCAAGTAAGTTTTTAACAACAGGCATCGACAAGACTGCTCTAACCTCATTTTACGTACATGCATCAGAAATTACAAGGTAGTGCAATCACTATGTTTGACTAGTGATCTTTTACCAAATTGTACACAAGGCTTAATTATGGGGAAGTATTGGACATAGGAACTGTGTTGCCTGGAGCGCTTCTGGGCTGATTTGACAGGAGGAGTTATTCGGAACTCACGCCTGAAGGAAGTTGCATGTTTGTGTAATGTCTGTGTTAGCTGGCTCCACCTGGTGGGGAAATGCTGGACTACTCCAGGCTGGATGTCTTTATAAGATTTGTTATCTCATGGCCATGGCCAGGGGAGTAATTCAGGATATTCTGGTAAATATGTGCCCGTTGTCATATACGTTTGTGCGTTTGGACAATTCTTTAGTGTGATTGCATCTCTCATTAATGGTTGTTCAGGCAATTTTTTATTTTTTATATCTTGGTCTAGTGGATATATCTTTTGGAGTATTTTTCCATAAGTTTGATGATTATTGGAAAAGTGGAATTTATTTGTGATTGTGTTGGTGGTTTTGATTTGATGAATCTTTTGTGTAATTTAGATTTTGTCACTTGATTGATTTGGAAAAAGTGACAGTTTGATTGGTTAGATGGTGCACATTGCAGGGCAGCATGTGGTTCTAGTGAAAGCAACCGGCTACTATTTGAAGCCACCAGCAGCTGTATTGCTGGGCCGAATACAATCGGATTTTGAGAGGTTTGTTTTTTAATTGTATTCACAATGGGATTACCTTGGGTCTGGTTTGTTGTAGTGATGAGAGGTTGTACACCTGGACAGCCGTCCCCGATGGCGGGTCCCATCCACTCTACATCTGGTCCATCAACAACATTGCCGCCAACAGAACCACCAAATCTACATATGTAAGTAAAAAGCACAAATTAATAATGATGCCATATTAGGCCATGATATATTGTCTCAGACAGTCGAAAGCAAATACCAAATCAATATGTAATTCCATCTTTAGTCCAAAAATTTATTTGCCTCATGGCAACGACAAATTATCAAGATTTAAAATCTGTTATGTTTCAAATATTTCTTCAAGAGTAGAAATGTACAGAAATGAAACATATGAATCTGTTTGTTAAATGATCCTGCACTGTATTGTATGCACTTCAATTATGTAGGTTTATGGCCTTTCATACAATAAACATTCAAATATAAAAGGAAAATATGAAACATTTAATCAGATGTTCAACCTTGCCCACATCACTACCATATCAAATACAGCGTCTCAGATCATTATATTGTCCCCAAGTACCTGCAGATGAAGGAAATCACTATGTATGTTTTCTTCTTTCTTATGAAAACGTACAACTTTATGGATGACAAGTGCTGGTTTATTGCATATAGCGATGTTTCGATGTGGATTCTTTCATCGTAAACAGGGCGGTCGGGTAGCCTAGTGGTTAAAGCGTTCGCTCGTCACGCCGAAGACCCGGGTTCGATTCCCGACATGGGTACAATGTGTGAAGCCCATTTCTGGTGTCCCCCGCCGTGATATTGCTGGAATATTGCTAAAAGCGGCGTAAAACCATACTCACTCACTCACTCACTACATCGTAAACAAGCTGGAAGATATTATTATTTTATACCTCTCTTCACTTGGTTGATGTCCACAGATGCCTTGATCACTTCCTCTGTACATACACTGCTCTTTCGTTAAAATCGAAAACCAATAAGGGTTTTTGATAAGAAGATGGCTACCTCTTAAAATTGCCACCTGTTTCCATTTTGGATCTGATATATTTATTCAGGTTGAGTTTTGTGGAATATGGTATTATTCAGGGGTATGTGAGAGTTGGGTATATAGGTTTTAAGATGTTTATATATGTTGTCTATATGAGGTATAGAAGAGTGCTCTAAATTCTCTAGCATACATTTTCAGCAATTTCCTAACTAGTTTATCTAGTGCCCCTAGTAGTGACATATATAAACAGCTGATGCACGGAGGAGAGGATAAGGTAACCGCAGTTACCTTTATTGTCTAAACAAACATCCAGTTGGTCTGGTTTCACTGTTTATGACAATTGTAACTTGAGCAAATAGTCTTGCTGGATTAGGCCTGACCTACAAGTAGCACCTTGTTCCACACAGCGATCTCAGTGCTACGTCTACTGGAACTCCAGTGCAATAACGCAAAGTTGCGATAGTCCTAACTCTTGCATAGCTTTGTGGAACAGGGCCCTGCCTTAAGTGTAAAGCATCTAACTCCCTTCATTCCAGACACTCAATACCTTCACGAGGGCTGGAATCAAGCGACTCAATGTTCAAGCTGAGAATGACGTCAGCATGGTGCAAGCCTCCCTGAACCTGACAGTGCAGTACCCTATCCTGTCTATACAGCTTGACATACCAGCCACCCCACTTGGCACCCTCACCAACATCTCCATCATTGTCAATGGCGGCATGAACTTCTCTGTGACATGTCACTTTGGGGATGGCACAGTAACAACGTCGTCCTCACAGTCGCACAACGGCGGTGTTGCCACAATACGGAAGGCCCATGAGGAGAAGGGCATTCCACCAGTCTATCACCTCGTGATGTCACACGTCTACGCCGACACGGGGGTCTATGATGTCAATGTCACCGTCGCCAATCTGTTCTCAGTTGTCGGTCAAGTGTCCAGGGCTCTGGTGGATGAGCCGATATCAGGAATCAACATGCTGACCAACTCGGACACCCTGGTTCAAGTGGAGGAGGTGGTCACTGTGTCTGTGACTGTTGCCAGTGGTCGGGACCTGACCTTCAAGTGGGTACTGACTGATGTCAACTCCAACCCTATCGAGTATTACATCACATCAGAAGTCTACAGGTAGGTCCTCATTGCTCATGTTTGTTTGTGTGTTTATCTAGGCCACAATCAACAACGGCTTGTAATGTATCTTGTCTCGTCCAGGCCCCTGTTCCACAAAGTAATCGTAGCACAACTGTTGGAAGCCAAAGTTAAAAGATGGTCTTTACAATAACTTTAGCGTTAAGATGGCTTGGTGGAACAGTGCCCAGGCAAGATTTACGTTATGAACAAATTCTGATCAAATGTATTTGCATCTGACAGCTTGTCATAGAGTGCTGGATCTCCATGTGTGTGTTAGTGAGGAACAGTTTGGCAAATGTAGACTTACAAGCATCAGCAAAAGAATCATTAGGACTGTCATAAAGTCATTGTTGGGAGTTGTCTCTGAACTACCATGACATCATTGTTGTTTCCAGATGATTGTTGATGGAAGTTTCTTCACACAACCTCAGATATGTTTGTGTGATATGTTTAACATCAACAGTTATATATCTACCAGGAAAACGACCATCCTTGTTTGTCCAGTGTATACAATACATATCTCCTTGTTATAATGGTATATCTATGCTGGACCCGTTTGCCACCATGTGGCACCATATAGCTTGATAACTTGATAACTTGTCAGATGGTGTCGGGGACATAAGCTGTTAGTATCAGGGATTTGCATCTACCAGGGAGAATTTAATTCAGCAACCATTAAATTTAAGTGTTAAATACTCATCACACTCTATCAATTTACAATGGCTAAGTACTACAAAGGTCAGTTTTCCTTATCTATTCCTAATTTCATTATAACATTAATGTCATTTCTGCCTGTGGTAGTCTGTTAATAAAATGACTACTTCGCTTTCCTAGAAAAGGTCATGTCATTCAATTACCAAGAAATATATGCAATGCTGTTATGGTTTTACTATGATTTATGAATGAATGTGCCTCATTGTCATTGTAGACCTTCCTGACCTAGACGTGTATTCATCTCATTGGTTGGAAATACTGTTGTATGCAAATTAGGTTGCTGATATTGGACGTTAACCAACTATTAGCCTATTAATTTGCGTAAAATACTCACATGATATATTCTCGTTAAATTGGACAAAGATTGATATCTGGAGACTAGTCACAATGTCAGCTGAAAGGCAGATGAACATGAGGTTTACTTAAACTTTGACTTTTATTAACCCTGATTGTGTAACTCATTATTTCGACTACCGAATCAACCAATCATGCATTATGTTGTTTCTTGATAAGGTACTTGCTGGTCATATTTTGTTTCATTTCCGAAAGGCTTATGACAAACTTTGAGGTATACTGACATGTATTCTTGATGTTTGTGGCAGTTTTGACAAATATTCCAAAATTTAGAATATATTACACTAGAGGAGGACATGTTCTTTCAGATTTGGTTATATAAATTATATTCCAGCAATCTTTTCGCTCATGCAGCTGAGGTGATTGACCAAATGAACAATTGCTATGTGCACTGCAGTGTGAACACTATTAACATGAAGCCCAACTCTCTTGCAGTGATGCCAACACCAGCAACGTCACCTACATCTTCATCGTGCCCAACAAGTACCGTGTGAGTGTCATTATTAAAAGCACCCTCTATGCCAAACCAGTGGAGGCAACTTTGCCCAAAATATTTCATGCTGTACAGAAGATCACCAGCGTCAAGTTACATGGGGACTTGGCTGCCGCGGCTGTGGATCAGAAGATAGAATTTACAGCGACGTAAGTATTGTTGTATTTAGGAGAGAAACTTGTGTGTGTTCATTCGTGTGTGTTATTGAGCATTCAGTGACAGGAATTTCATTTGGAGCCAACAATATAAATACAAAATGTTACCAGTAATTGTCCGCTGCACCATCTTTCTAATGTCCTGTAACAGCTGGGAGACAGACATGACATTGCCCTTGAATGCCATGATGTCATGCTACAAAGGCTGACATCATAGGATTCCATGACAACTAAACACGCCAGATAAGCAAGATGAGGGAAAATGACACTTTTTTCAATTTTGGACATGATTCTTTGATCTGGAGAAAATTATTCCTGCACAGTGAAAAGTCCAGAAGATTTCTGGTATTAACTCATAAATTCAAGCACACACTCCCATTGGTTGATAGTAGTGACCTTGGTAATGTTGATGTTACAGCAGATTTTGTCCCGAGATCTGTTTGCGATAAGGGAAAAAGGGTGTTGTGAAAACACACCACAAATGAGGAACATTGGTCATATATCCATAAATGAAATGTCATGGCATTTTGTAAAACTCATTAATATCTTGTAGTGGTATGCTAGTTTATCTCAGTTGTTGATTTATAATGGATCGTGTTGGCACACGCTTACTATACTGTTGAATATGTCATATGCAAAGTGATTCTTGTTCTTTGTTCATCTTTTTATGACACATAAATTAGGATTGATTGATGCTGATTTTCTTTACCGAGTTTGGTAAACAAAGTACCTGTCATCAGCGAGTCAAGGGCAGGCAACTCTATATTATTGTGGTACAGTGTTCCCTCACTATTGTGCTCTTCAATAAAGCGTCAACTCGGTTATTGCGCATGGTAAAGCATGGTTCCCATCTAAAAAAAACCATATCAGCTGATCACCGCGAGCACAAAGATCTGAGGACATCCCATTATGGGTCACGTCAGACCGACATATCGCAAACTCTAATCAACCAATGGAATTACTGACAAGAAGTCTACATTAGCCAATCAGAAGGCAGCTTTCTCGTGCTTTACGGCACTAATTTCAAATTGGTGGCTACGCCTCGAAACTTAAAAATTTGAAACCTGAACAAAAGAACATTCTCGAATGGCTAATATATGGTCTAGATTGTAAGGATTCACTTGTTAAGCCCTTAACTATCATTCGGAATACCCCGTTTTAAAGTTTTCGAGGCTGCATGATGAGAAATCACATTCCGACTGTCACTTTCATGATCTGGTAAGCGACACTCTGATTGGTTGGATGAAAGGTCCTTCTGACGTGACCCCAAATGGGATGTCCTCAGATCTTTGTTTAGCGGTTTAATGAGATTGTCACTATATATAATCAAAATCATAAGAACCATAAGCGTAGCACTTTGGTCCAGGTGATTGCTATTGCCAGATATTTTTACATATGGAACAATTAGCGAGAACTAAGATCTGATTTTAATGAGATTGATATAGTGAAAGCTGCAACTAAAATAACACGATATTGGATTATGTTTTTACTGATAAAATAATAATTTCAGATACAATTTCCTCTGACCATTGCATCAAAATTATCTTTAAAATACTTTTTAAATGAATCACCAGTTGATGTGGGAGGAAATGTGTGCACAGCTGATTGCTATTTCCGTCTTAGTTTACGAGAAAATACACACGGTAATCTTAATCTCTTCATATAAAACAATGCCTTCAAGGGCAGGAAATACAATTTAAATGCAAAATGCTCATGTCTAGTGATGCTTTATATCAAATTTCATATTTTTATTGACCTAGTTTGTTATCCCTGTCGTACACCAGAATTTGCTGAAGGGATATGATGTGGTTTTTTTTCTTAAAGCACATTACACACGATAAATCTTTTTTGACACTATGAATCATAAACAACTACTATTCTAATCCTTTTGATCCGTTGATCGTGCGAGGTAGGCAGAGCATTTATACTGTTTTGTTGGTCATCTACCCCTAACAACCCCACCTTGGTTAAAACGCTGATCATCTCTAACGCACATCAATTATTTGGACCCAAAGGTATCGTTATAGTGAGGAATCACTGTATCACTGTTTCATGGTGTGATAAGTGTGATATATGTGGTTTACATCACTTCCTGTTTTGGATTATGCATAATCAATATGCATAGAACCTAGGTTGGGTCTAGGGACATCGTCCAAACAAATGGGTTCTTTTCTAACCAATTTCGAATGGAGGTTTGGGTAATTCCTCTTCAAAAACATTCCAGAAACTATCATAAAAAGTTAATATGTGCACTTACGAAAAGTGATGAAATATTGTGCTTAGATTTGCATAAGTCAACATTCGGGGAATGGATTACGATATTTACCGATACCACGATAATATAGGGTCATACTGTACGTTATTTAGGTAACAATGTAGGATGGACCATGTCATCAATGCTGAGGTTAACCAATATAAAGTTTGTTAAAACCTTGAAAATTGCACTCAGTATTTCTGTAACTCGATGAGATCGATGTTGTTTTGAATGATGGACGTCTGTTTCCATGCAGTATCGTGGAAGAGGGCTCGGATGTGGTCTATCTGTTTGACTTTGGTGACGGCCATACCCAGCAGAGTAACGGCACCACGAACCTCATGAGCCACATCGTCGGTGTTGTTTCACACACGTACACAGAAGGTAAGCATGTGTGTCAGGACCAATACAGAATTCTTCAACAATCGGGGGATTCTTATACCCATTTTGATCATTACGGTTGAGACAGTTGGGAAATTATTTCCTCCATCTGCAACAGTGCTCAATGCACTGATGACCAAGTGTCCGGCCTAAGAGTTCCACATAAGGGGCATGTGCTTATCCATTGTGAATGGCAATCCATTTCTGGTGTCCCCTTTTACCGTGATATAGCTGGAACATTGCTAGACAAGTTGTAAAACCGTTCTTACTCACTCTCCTACACAGTATATCCTCTGATACAATTATTGCTACCAGTGTCATGAATAGTTTCATTTTTAGTACAGTGTTCGAAATAAGCGCCTACCCGTTGGCCCGTGGCAGGTGGATCTTGTGTCAGGCCTGTAGTTTCAAAGTTGTATGGGTCCTTATGGCCTGCAGTAAATTTAGTGTCAATTTATTTCTTACAGTAAGCTGCAGTTTATTTTAAATGTGGGACTGAAGAGTTTAGTCAGGTCCTGCAGCTTCTAAAGTCTGTGGTTCTGATGGCAGCCTGGCATTTGTTTTTATTCAAACACTGGTTGAGTAGCCTAGTGGTGAAGGCATCAGCTTGTCACTCTGAAACCTGCGTTTACTATCCCAAAGGGATACAAAGTGTCAATTGTTAAGCTCATTCTTGTTCTTCCTCTGTATAGCTAATATAGAATACACTGAGGGTGACAGGTAGCCATAAACAATATCATATAACCTGCAATAAAAACACTTGCAGCCATTAAGGTGCAACCAGAGCCCAACCTACAACCTAGGGTCATCTCTTTAAATTACATAGAACATAGGTATTATTGGTGTGGTATCAAAGGTATTTTGGAAAGCTGTGTTGTGGCAATCCACTTTGCATTCTATGTCGTGCCAAGGCCTCCTTTGGGGGCTGCCATACACAAGGTTGATACCCTCCCACTGGAGGTTAGGCCCATTCTCACAGTAGGGAAATTACTTTTATGGATGAAAAAATGTAATTTGTTATTACTTTTAGGACTGCCATTGCATGTGTGTGGGTGATTGATGGTTTACAGTATGGCTGTTTGGAATGTTCTTTCATGGTATCAAGTGGTGTTCTGGTAAGGCTTGTTAGATCAAATTTGTTGTTTGTCATCCCCTGCCCTCCCTGTCCCTATGTTTCTTTTGTAAAGCGTTGACTTCTTCATCTCAGAATTCTCCTTTAACCGATTCCCACTTGTTGCACCTAGAGCCACAGTGAGTGTGGCCTTGTGTCGATAACATTTCGGCTGAATGACAACTATTAGCAAATGTTGAAAGCTGCATGTTTAGTGTGAACTGTTGCAGCCCTCTGTTACACGTCTGTGTGACACAGTCAACCATGTGTCAGTGATGAGCTGCAGTGATGAGTGATGGTGTGCATCGTGTCATATTTCAGTTGGTGTGCATCGTGTCATATTTCAGTTGGTGTGTATGATGTCATGTTTCAGTTGGTGTGCATCGTGTCATATTTCAGTTGGTGTGTATGATGTCATATTTCAGTTGGTGTGCATCGTGTCATATTTCAGTTGGTGTGTATGATGTCATATTTCAGTTGGTGTGCATCGTGTCATATTTCAGTTGGTGTGTATGATGTCATATTTCAGTTGGTGTGTATCGTGTCATATTTCAGTTGGTGTGTATCGTGTGTCTGTGATTGCGATCAACCCACTGGGCAACGTGACAGCAGTCCTGAAGCCGTTCTATGTGCAAGTACCACCCACCCTGCACGGGGTGATGATGCTTGACCAGAAGAAATACTGTCTAAAGTTGCGGGAAAACATCACCCTAGTGGCGCGCATCCCCCACGGCACTAACATCACCTTCAACTGGCAACTGGATGACGAAACAGAACTTATAGACACAGGTACAGTTAACATTACAATTCTCCATGAAGGAAGTACCGTATTTGACGTAATAAGTGCCAGGGGTGCTCTCAAAATTAGAAAAGGGGGCTCTTATTGGAATATAATGTTGGTGAGGAAAAAAACAGAGTTGAAACATCATAAATTTCGTGGTTTATGCTGACAGCCTGAAATTATAAAAATGAAAAATATGTGTGTATCATACACGACAGATTTATTTTCCAGAATTTAATTGCCGATAATTAAGGATGCATATAACGAGTGTGTAATATACACGAAGAAATATCGCTGTGGGTGCTTATTAGAGCGGGGCGCTTATTACGTTGAATACGGTATTGTTTGGAGACCATCACAAGGTCATTTCCTTTCTGCACATGGACACCAGGGCCTTATTCCACATATGTTGACATATGGGAGTTACGATTGTCATAGCACAAGAATTGCTTTGTGGAACTGGGATCAGTACAAGCAATTCATTACAAATGTCATATGTTTTTGTACCTAACCAGATCATGTAGCCAGTTGATATTAGACATAATGTACAAATAAAAAAAGCCCTTCGTCCAAGAACTCTTGTGTAGAAAAATCTTGCGCCTCTAATAATAGCACTGTAATGTTAGCCTCCTATCTGGATTAAGCAATGAACATTTCAATGGCAGCCTTAATTAACTTGTCTTCCTCGCCATGCTTTTGGCTATTGCCCATGATGATTGATAATTCTCACGTTTGTCTGGGTTTTTTTATGTAAATGAAATTGTTTCTTTGTGCAGGTGAATGGATTACCCACAACTACCGCACGACTGGTCGGAAGTCGGTCAGAGTCAAAGCCTATAATAGAGTAGGCAAGATTGAAGGTTTTACTAATGTCCACGTTTTCAATGAAATACAAGGTAAGAATGATTTGCAGTTGTATCTTGGAGTTCATAACATGTTTTTAAGCCAAAATCAAACTCGCCAGCCTAAAGCCCATTCCCAAAATAAAATAAAAATTATTTTATATTATTCTTATTTTCAAAAAGGAGGATACAACAATAATGGAACAAGGAGTATCTGTTAACTTGACACCTGATCAAATGAATTCTATTCAGTTTGTTACCACTGCAGACTCACAGAATCAAGCCTCCTATGGCATTGTATTTTGTTTGTTACCACTGCAGACCTACAGAATCAAGCCTCCTATGGCATTGTATTCAGTTTGCTACCACTGCAGACCTACAGAATCAGGCCTCCTATGGCATTGTATTCTGTTTGTTACCACTGCAGACCTACAGAATCAAGCCTCCTATGGCATTGTATTCTGTTTGTTACCACTGCAGACTCACAGAATCAAGCCTCCTATGGCATTGTATTCTGTTTGTTACCACTGCAGACCTACAGAATCAAGCCTCCTATGGCATTGTATTCTGTTTGTTACCACTGCAGACCTACAGAATCAAGCCTCCTATGGCACTGTATTCTGTTTGTTACCACTGCATACTGACAGAATCAAGCCTCCTATGGCATTGTATTCTGTTTGTTACCACTGCAGACCTACAGAATCAAGCCTCCTATGGCACTGTATTCTGTTTGTTACCACTGCAGACCTACAGAATCAGGCCTCCTATGGCATTGTATTCTGTTTGTTACCACTGCAGACCTACAGAATCAAGCCTCCTATGGCATTGTATTCTGTTTGTTACCACTGCAGACCTACAGAATCAAGCCTCCTATGGCACTGTATTCTGTTTGTTACCACTGCAGACCTACAGAATCAGGCCTCCTATGGCATTGTATTCTGTTTGTTACCACTGCAGACCTACAGAATCAAGCCTCCTATGGCATTGTATTCTGTTTGTTACCACTGCAGACCTACAGAATCAAGCCTCCTATGGCACTGTATTCTGTTTGTTACCACTGCAGACCTACAGAATCAGGCCTCCTATGGCATTGTATTCTGTTTGTTACCACTGCAGACCTACAGAATCAAGCCTCCTATGGCATTGTATTCTGTTTGTTACCACTGCAGACCTACAGAATCAGGCCTCCTATGGCATTGTATTCTGTTTGTTACCACTGCAGACCTACAGAATCAAGCCTCCTATGGCACTGTATTCTGTTTGTTACCACTGCAGACCTACAGAATCAGGCCTCCTATGGCATTGTATTCTGTTTGTTACCACTGCAGACCTACAGAATCAAGCCTCCTATGGCATTGTATTCTGTTTGTTACCACTGCAGACCTACAGAATCAAGCCTCCTGGGACCAATGGAGTCAATGTCATAAACCAAATGAAACAAACAATTATATGCCAAATAAGATAAAACATGTTGAGTTATGCAAATATTTTTTTTCTTTTCATTTCCTACCTATTTAGCTGGCATGAAATTTCTTAACAGTGGCCCGCCTCCGTGGTCTCATGGTAGAGCGTCCGCCCCGGAGAGCGGAAGGTCCTAGGTTCAATCCCCAGGCGCGTCATACCAAAAGACGTTAAAAGATGGTACTTGTTGTTACCCTGTCTGGGGATCGGCATTAAAGGGCTAAAACAATGACTGGTCGGCTCGGAGTCAGTATACTGTGACTGAGTGGGGTATTCAAGTTAAACTGCGGCATGGTATCTCAGTGTGCTAGCACTATAAATCGGCATCAGTCCGGACAAGTACAAGCAGCCACACACACACATACATACATGTGCATGCACGTCGCTATATAAGTGCAATAATCTTGGACGCTGCGTTAAACCCCATTTCACCTCACCTCTTAACAGTGATTAATGGAGAAAAATGCAATACAACAGTTTCATGATTTTATCAGTTTTTGGGAGGATATTCTTCGATGTCATTACAAAATTTGAAAAGACTTTATGATATTTTGGATTATGGTCAGTCAATGTCCTGAACTGTGAACCAATTTGAAACCCTGGTTAACTATAGATTACTAAAGGTGGTCCCTGTAAGTACTGAACAACCTACTTCAGGGTGCTTCTCATACAAGGTGATTGTGATGCGGAAGGACACCAGGGAAGACCAATTCTGATGATCCGTTGTGTGATTGTGTGTTGTCACAATTCATGAGGATGAATCCTTGTTCCCATTGTGCTTGTTGAGTAGAGGATTGACTGCCAATATAACAGAGTGCTTTCCTAAGTTTCCTTCAATATCCTGGGATATGTATATGTTAACAATATTTGGTATGTTTTCTTCACTTGAGGGAAGGAATGGACAGAGTCATCTAACTGTCAAAACTTTTTATCAAAACAAGTGTTTGTTGTTACAAGCCTCAAGTGTATGAATGAAGATTTTGAACACTATAAGTAAGGTGTTTTGTTTCAGGAGCTAAGTTGTCAGCCACCCGTGATGTGGTCGGCACGATGGAAAGATTGGAGTATGTGGCCATCCCAGACCCCAACGAGACAGGAACTGTAGAGTTCTACAACTGGACTTTTGATGAACATGTGCAGACCTCAGAAAACCACATCTCATTTGCTTTTGCAAGTCCTGGAAAGTAAGTAATTGTTTTTAAGTTCATTTTTTCAATGATTAGATAATCTCAATGAGGTGAATAATGATATGGTTTCTTGATTTTAATTGGTGCAATCTACTGGGAGAGTTGCGACATGACAATATCTGAACTGTGAGACTCACGAGGCCAGAGTTAAGCCCCTCAGTCATGCCAGGATCCGAAGATCATAGATTTGAATTCCAGATTAACACCATGGCATACCTTTTGGCTTATCACTATATCTTTGCAAATGGGTTTCACCAAACTGATTTTAACGTCTATGACCTGCATCTCTTTCAATTTACTCAAACATGCTTTGAAATTAGTGAAAACTGTTCAAAACTGCTTTAAACCAACCTCTCACTCACTCACTCATTATCTCACTCATTCACTCACTATCTCACTCACTATCTCACTCACTCACGCACTCACGCACTCACGCAATCACTTCTCCTTCCCTCTCCCCAGACACGTGGTCACAGTAGCGGCCAACAACTGCATCAGCAGAGCGGTGTCCAAGCCGCTTGAGATCCTGGTCATGTCCAGACTGAAGAGCCTTGACATTCATGTGGAGGGGGAGAGCCTGGTGCATCAGCCAATCAAATTTACTGCCACATTCTGGATTGGTGACAATCTCAACTTCACCTGGGACTTTGGTGATGGCTCACCTGTCATACAAGGCCTCAATGAAACTACTGTACATCGCTTCAATCGGTAGGTGTCATCAAGTTTTAAAATGTGTTGCTGTTTGTATCTCTGTGTCATATATGTGTGGCTGGCAGGTTGTTTAATCAGTGCTTTGGAAATCACTAGGGACTATATAGTCAATCTTATTGCATCACCCTATCATATGTTACAGCACTGGGGAGTTTATAGTCAATCTTACTGCATCACCCTATCATATGTTTCAGCACTAGGGAGTATATAGTCAATCTGACTGCATCGCCCTATCATATGTTGCAGCACTGGGGAGTTTATAGTCAATCTAACTGCATCACCCTATCACATTTTTCAGCACTGGGGAGTTTATAGTCACCCTGTCACATGTTTCAGCATTGGGGAGTTTATAGTCACCCTGTCACATGTTTCAGCATTGGGGAGTTTATTGTCAATCTGAATGCATCACCCTATCACATGTTTCAGCACTGGGGAGTTTATAGTCACCCTATCATATGTTTCAGCATTGGGGAGTTTATTGTCAATCTGACTGCATCACACTGTCACATGTTTCAGCATTGGGGAGTTAATAGTCACCCTGTCACATGTTTCAGCATTGGGGAGTTTATAGTCAATCTGAATGCATCACCCTATCACATGTTTCAGCACTGGGGAGTTTATTGTCAATCTGACTGCATCACCCTATCATATGTTTCAGCACTGGGGAGTTTATAGTCAATCTGACTGCAGTCAATGCTATCAGTGGAGATTCCGTGACTGTTCAGCTGTTTATCCTGGAATGGATCTGTAAACCTCCAGAGATCACGATCCCAGGCACTACAGCCAATATGGTGAGGAGATATTTCCTACATTTCAATCAAAGACCAGTGTGTAAAGCTTTTTATATGAGATTCCTTCTGTCCATCGTCAGTCAACATTTTTGTTTTCTGAGCAGATGATTATGGCTCAATACTCAGTACTCAATCCAAGATGTTTTGATCAGTCAATACTTGATTGGGTCTTGATTGCATTTCTATTCTAAAACTTGTTTGAGATTGTTTTTCTTCTGAAAAATATTGATTTGGTAAATGAATAATTCAGAGGTCAAAAATAATAATTGCAACTTATAATTACAGATGACACGCTTGAAAACCAAACTTAACTTTGAATTGTTCAAGAGGTTTTTCACATTTTTTTCATGTGTGCATGTTAAAACCTCAATTATTAGAGGAGGACAAATCTTTATCATTTCTGACTTTCAGAAGTCCCACATTTCCATTCAGGATATGTTATATTTGATGTATATGTCATTTTGAGCCCAAACGTTCTCCACTTTAACAAGATGACTTTTGTTTCATGATTGATATACATAATTTTCAGTTCACATTTTACCATTCGGATCAAGTGCATATTGAAACTGCAGTGAAGATCAACTGTTCTCCACGAGAGGAAGTGACTTACATGTGGTCCTTCAGTGATGTGGAGGGGACGACGGTGCAGCCAATGAGAACGGATGAGGACATGTTGGACAAGCAGACTCTCATCCTGTCACCCCGATCTCTGGCCCCAGGGATGTACAGAGCCACTGTCAAGGTCAGTACTTCATCGTTAACCCCATGGGGTCCCCAGCATAGGCCCCAAGCTCGCTATCAACTAATTTCAACAGACAAAATTGGCCTGGCTGGACAAATGTGTCATTGTACCTGAGTGGCTTCGGAAATTGTTCTTAATATCAACCATTGGTTTGTCTGTCCTAGATTATTTACAGGCTGGGATATTTGCTGACTCTGTCATAAATAAGCAAACAAACAATACATAACTTTATTGTTGTGACGTCATTGGCACAGCAGCTGGGATATTGCTATAGTATACCACATCATTTACTTACTAACTGGGCGGTGGTGTAGCCTAGACCCGGGTTCGATTGCCCACATGGGTACAAAGTCCATATCTGGTCTCCCCTGCTGTGATATTGCTGGAATATTGCTAAAAGCGGCGCAAAACAATGCTCACTCACTCACTCACTCACTCACTCACTCAGGGAGGCCTGTGGCACTTCGTCTAACCTTAATGATATAATCTATTGTCAGGTTGAGATGTACGATACCATAGTGTACTCCACCTCTGCGGTGGATGTGACTATCCTTCCCACCCCCCTCAAGAGCATCATAGAAGGGGGGATGCAACGCACCATTGGGCAGCAGGAGACTCTCTACCTGGACGGCTCCAACTCCCGCGACCCGGACCACCCCCACAATGCATCACTCAGGTAGGGGGAAGTCATGCAGTGTATACTGCTACCTTAGAGCCTCCTCATAGGCTGCCCTCCAGTGTCTACGAACAGCAAGCTCACTGTCATTGTGGTCTTATACACAGAGCACCTCCATCCTCCTCATCACGAACCTCCCAGATTGTTTCTCTTGATCATGTTAGATTGTACTTTAGATGTCTATTTTAAGCACAGTATGTTTTGAATGGACTCCAAGTAAAGCTATGGGAGTGAATGGAGCCAAGGTATTTATCATAATTATGAAGGTATAATGCCCTGGATTACTGAGGATGCTTCGATACAAAATTTACTAAATAGAACTGCCGTGACAGTTAGCTTGCTTCCTGTAGATACGAGAGGGCAGTCTCAGTGGAGACTTCAAGTTTGTTTTGTTAGATATGTTCAATCAAGATGTTTTACTGGTAGTTATTACAAGTGTCTTGTGCAAAAACAGAAATCACATGCATTTAGGTCACATGCTGCTTTAGTCTTCTGGTCTTTAGGCATTGCTTGATGGCTTCCTTTAATTGCTGTAAGTTTTCCAGTGGTACCTTACTCAGAGATGTACTTTCAGGTTCAACTGGACGTGCCAGTCGCTGCCTAGATATGGCCTGTGTTACAACATCACAGCGATCAACTTGTTCAAAGCCAACACCAATGACACGGACATTGTGTACGACAGTGCTTCGTCTCAGTTGGTGCTGACTTCACCCAAGATGGCCATACCAGCTGGGTTCCTGCTGCAGGATGATAGCTACTTTTTGTTCACACTGGTGGTTTCCGCACCAGATGGCCGACAAGCCACAAGTGATCAAGTCATTAAAGTCAAAGCGGATAATCAAACAATAAGGTAGGTCTGTCAAACCAATCGAGAGCGGGAGACATTGTGTGCTGACTTTGCAGTATTGCAGCAATATCCAGCCTGTCACCAAGCATTAAATGGGTACCCGGTAGGATTAGATGGAAATGGGAATGCTGAACTGTCAGATAGGCAATTTGGGCCTGTATGATCCCCAGGGAACTGAGAATGCTCAATGGAATGTACTTTGATTTGTCGACTGGGGAATTAATTTTATGTGTTATGAGCATGCATTGTGTGGAATTAGCGCTGTGATAATTTTCATCACATTACCACATTATTATTACACGTCTTTAGACCATGGTGCTCTCAAATTCTTTCTCAACTCCCTGGGGAGTGACCTATCCAAATGTTATTGTGTTGGTAAAAACACATCAGGGTCAGTGGAAGTGGGCTTCACAAAGTGTACCAATTTTGGGAATTAAACCTGGGTTAGTTTTGATGAGAAAACACCCTAACCAGTGGGCTATCCGGCTACTCAGTTCCTAGTCTCAGTACCCAGAGCATGTATTTAACAAAACAATCCCCATACCTGTACCATCCTCATTCCATGCTCAGCTCTTGCAGTCTATACGCATCCTCTTTAATCTAAACAATTCAGTGATTAGAGTGTTCCTTTAATATTCATGGGTTCCCTTGTAGAATTATTTTTAAGTACATATTATTGATACTTACAAATCGATTTTGCATTGGCTTGTCATGTCATAGTCTTGTTCCACTCACTCACTCACTCACTCACTCACTCACTCACTTGTATGTTAAGAACTTGAAAACAACATAAGAGTTAAGTAAGGATAAGAATTTATGGATAAACAACTTCTTTATTACAATTAAGAGCGACGTTTCGGTGTAGGTTCTAACACCATTATCAAGCAAGTGATGATAATGGTGTTAGAACCTACACCGAAACTTATGGATAAACAACTTCTTTATTAGAATTAAGAGCGACGTTTCGGTGTAGGTTCTAACACCATTATCAAGCAAGTGATGATAACGGTGTTAGAACCTACACCGAAACTTCGCTCTTAATTGTAATAAAGAAGTTGTTTATCCATAAATTCTTATCCTTACATAGTACCCCAACTGCTAAATGCCTATCAAAGAAGAAACATAAGAGTTGTTCAAATTGCTGTTTCATGGTTTAATCTGTGCAACTGTCCCTCATGAAAACAGCAGAGGAGGAAAGGTTCTTTTGAAAAATTACAACTATTTTAATGAAATGTTTCCATAGAATAAGTGTTAGCCTACCGGACCCCGTCAGTTCAGGAACATGCTTTCCATGTAGTTACCGTAAGGAATGACCACTTATTATCCAGGAACAATTCATTTGTTAATCTTGATATTTGTAAATGACGTTTCCAACGGAAAATCTACTGTCCAGACTAACGAGGTTACAGAGTATTTGTTACATTCTAAAATCAATTCCTTTGTTACTAATACTGTATGCTCATTATACACATTGCATAAAGACCAGGGGAGGTAACTCAGTGCATCCAGAAGTAGATGAGGATCAGTATGCTGGATGGTATTGGCGTCTCCTTGTTGTCATGAAGATCACAAACAGCAAACATAGCTTCTTAGACTGGCTGCAGTATCTTCACATGCAATGACTCAATGATTTGTTGTAACCATTTGGTTTAATGCAGTTTGTAAGTAAAAAATAATAGTTCTTAATCTTCAGGCATATGCAGTGTTTTGACAGAAAACATGAAATTCCTTTTTCTGATTTATACTGCAGTGGAGATTTTGGGTTGGAATAGGCTCCAGTACTCCATGTTAATAGGGAGAGCTGACTGATAGAATCGAATGGTTACAATGTCTGACCTGCCTGATTTGTGCCATCGTGCCTTGATGGATTGCTACTCATGCTATTGACCACTAGTTTGGTGGTTTTATGTCGCTCCCTATCTGTATTTAGTAGGGCTGTTATGATACACCTCATAATATGATCTTAATCGCGATTCAATACACGATACGATACATGAAAACTTGTCATTTGACATGCTTGTTAAGGAAACATTTAAATCTTCAAAATCATATTAGTAGAACTGAGCCAAAACAGTGATTTTTACTTCAACAGTTTACATGTCACCCCTTTTATAGATTTGTATCATTTTGATACCTGAACTCACGTTGTTGGTAGCATGGAACAGGTTATTGCCCGCATCAAACATTCAGTAACCCCAGAAGTGAGTGAGTGAGTGAGTAAGTGAGTAAGTTTGATCAGTAGTCCGGTTATGTCATGGCATGTCAGCTTAATGTGGGGGGAAAGCCCGAAGGGATGTTTACCACTTTGGTGAAACCCGCGAGCACAAGTATGGTGTGAACCTAGAACCATAATGAAGTACACCCGTGTCCCCAGTAACACTAGAACTTGTGATAACTTTCCTCCTTGTTATGGGGCGGTGGGGTAGCCTAGTGGTTAAAGCGTTCGCTCATCACGTCAAAGACCCGGGTTCGAATCCCAACGTGGGTACAATGTGTGAAGCCTATTTCTGGTGTCCCCCGCCATGATATTGCTGGAATATTGCTAAAAGCGGCGTAAAATCATACTCACTCACTCCTCCTTGTTATACTTCAGCTTAAAGATAAGTTGCCACCAATGCAGAGGAGGCCTTGTAAACATGGACGAGAAGATCTCCCTGAGGACTGAATGCATCAACTGCCCCTACAATCTGACATACACTTGGAAGATATCCTTGATTGAGAACAGCTTCTCAGAACCTGAGCAAGATTATCGGAGTGACTGCAAACCCGAGGAAGCAAGTGGTCAACTCTCATTGGTATTGTCAGTAGCATCATGGATAAAGAAAACTGGCCTGACAACCACATCCACTGTGCCCCCTGAGGCCCCAACATCTTCATCCATCCCGTCCTCTACAACACGGAGTAAGTACCATGGATTAATTGGATTTACTTGCATTGAGTTCTGTATGCTTGGGGTGTCACGATTCACTGTTGTCTTGATGCATCGCGAATTCACACCTGACAAAATGATGCATGTTGTGTCTACCCATGAATTGATTCATAGTTCTGCATAGATTTTCAAAACAGTAATATTTATTTGATAATAATGTATAAGGACTCAGCTTGATAACTACTATCACATACTGATTTTGATTGCTTGAACCTAGGATTGCGGGTTCGAATCCCGGTTCGCCCCAATTATGTTTCTAGGTTTGTCAGCACCATACTGTGCTCGTGGGTTTCACCGAAGTGGTAAACGTCTGAGGCCTGCATCACTTCGGGCTTTCCTCCCACATTAAGCTGACACGCCGCGATATGACTGGAATACTGTTAAAAGCGGTGTTAAACCCAACTCACTCACTCACTCACTTTGATTGCTTGATACTATTAGAACAGGTCTAAATTACCAATCATTTGAATTATACACAAACTGTGGATAGCAGCAAGCTATTGTTAGCCAGAATGCATAGAACATGGAGAAGCTCACGTTAAAGTGATGAAGATTAAGTATTGTGTGTGATGAGTATTATATTGATATGTGAGGTGGGTGTAGCAGGACAACCCTGCCTGTCACCTGTGTCATGTTCTGTTGATGTATTTTAGAAGATCTGTAGTCATTTGTACAAACAAAGAAATAGGTATTCTGTCTGACACATATCTAAGACATTCTTTGTTGTCGCAGCAGGATCCAATCATGATGGGGTCAGATCTGATTGTCCTTCTGATTATGACCCTGCTTATCACCACCATACTGTGTATACATGTGGGTTCAACAAAGTACTTACATGTACGACCTGCAACAGACTGACATGTAGAAATAAAGTTATCTAAATTAAAAATACATATCTACAAAATAAAAAATGAAATCCAAATGGAGCCCAGAACAATCCTTAATTTCAGGATTTTAACGTTTAGACCTGGGGCAATCTAGACTTGCCAAATCATTCTAGACTTGAGTTTGTCACCATTTACAATTTTATTCCTTAGGGTCTGGGAGAGACACTAACATTTAGCTGGCATGTAATGGGATGTAACTGAAATACTGTTTTTAGAACACAGACCTGTACGAAATCAGTAGCATAAACCCACGTCACGTTTGGCATATGAGAGATTGAAATAAGTTTCAGTTCAGTTCTGATGTTTGGTTTAAGGTATCAAGTAGGAATTATTTGTGTTTATAGGGGTCCTGTATGAATGATGCTTCAGATAGTCCTGGCTGGTTTAGATTTATGTTGCTAATGTTTGTTTGAAACATTTAATTTTTTTGGTTTAGAAATAACAGAGTCAGTGCCTCGGAACAGAGGACTCCCTGGCTGTGGCCAGATGTTTAATAAAGACCTGGCTGAGAATACAGGTGATTATGAATCATTGATAATAAACATCTCAATAGGCAGGTATTTGAGGGCAGTCTAGCCTCAGACATTGATATATTTAATATCAAAAGTAATTTGGTGAGATTCCCTATTTCACTCACAATATGTCACTTCTTTAATAAGATAAGTTGAGTTTTGACCTACTTTCTATGAGTCTAACTGATTGTGTCTTTTTGTAGTTGGAGATGACCTTCACCTTGACTTACTACAAGAAGGGCTAAGCAATGGAAGACAGAGACCGAGAAGTGAGTTGTACCTTGGAAAGTACCATTGTACCATTCTACCTAACAGGAGTTGAGGATAGGCTTGTATGGATGGCTCATTTTGAAAAAAAATGGGTTCTTAGATAGTGGGTGAGGGTATGTTGGGGAAAAGTGTTTAACTAATCTGTGTTTCAGGCAGGATAGTTTGTCTGATATAATATAAGATATATACATTTTCAAGAATGTTGTGTTTGGAGATTTATGAATGATGCTTACTGTAAGTTTTATGTTAACAGAAGCAGACAATGGCGTGCCTCAAGTTGTGGGTGAGGGCACCTCTGGCAAGAGACCTTTTGGTGAGTGAAACGTCAGTGGGTAATTTTTGGTAATCAAAGCCTTTTTAGGAATAACTTCTTTTTCCAAATTTTCATTAAAAAAAAGAACTCAAGTGAAATCATATTGTGTTCCTCTATTTCAGGACGGCCACAAGTCATTACCAGTGGGATTAATGAAGGTATGTTTCAAGATCCCATATCTTTCAAACCAACCCTCACAACAGCCTCCCTCCCAAGCCACACCTCGTCAATACATACAACCCAATTCCAGTCAAACTATTCAATCATCAATCCACCTAACCCACTCACTCCCAATCGACTCAACCCACACCTCTTTATCCACTCGGTCGCTTGGATCGAGCATCTGCCCAGAGAGAGGAAGGTCAGTGGTGGATGCCCTGGCCACGTCATATCAAAGAAGGGGCCATCGGGTAGCCTAATGGTTAAAGTGTTCCCTCAACACGTCAAAGACCAGGGTTCGATTCCCGACATGGGTACAATGTGTGAAGCCCATTTCAGCTCATATTGCTGGAATATTGGGAAAAGCGGCGTAAAACCACACTCATTCACTCACTCATATCAAAGAATGGTACTTTTTGTTACCCTGCCTTGCTTCAGATACTCCTGATTTGTGCAGATTGATGTTGTCAATGTCATACATTTAATCTTTCCATTCAGAAATAACAGAGTCGATGCCTCGGAACAGAGGACTGCCTGGTTGCAGCCAAATGTTTAATAAAGACCCCGCTGAGAATAAAGGTGATTACTGAACTTTCATTGTGAACATCTGAATAAGCAGGGACTTGAGGGCAGTTCTCCAGTAACTATGCTTCTCGTCACAGACAACTGAAATGGGGATTGTGTGATCACAATGTCTCCATTGCTAGGTACATTGATGAGAGGCCATTTTGAAAGACCGATTCACAGTCTGACAAATGTACTGAGCTACTCAGGATGCTCTTACTATTAGCCTCTGGTTTGCCCCCTCAAGACCTCACTACACAAAGCATTCACTGCTTTCAAGCCTGTTCAGCAGACCAGAGCTTTGTTTCCCTTTTTAGAAATATGTATGCGGCAGTTCATCCTAAAGAATTACAAGGAAGGTCAGTAGCCTGATCAGGACATGCTTGTTTACAGTCTGTCATCATTTTAGTGGAATATTGCTGGTTGCAGGACTAAAAGACATCTTGTTGTGTCAGACAGGATAGTTTGTTTGTTGTTATCTTAGATTGTATACATTTCCAAGAATGTTGTGTGTGGAGATTTATGACTGACAACAATTGTAAGTGTTCTGTATATGTCGCCAACAGAAGCAGACAATGTCGTGCCTCAAGTTGTGGGAGAGGGCATCTATGGCAAGAGACCTTTTGGTGAGTGATTCTTTGGTTTCTACTGGTAATATTTTGGTTATCAGATTATTTTTTAAAATACTTTTTTTCCACATTTCATTGAAAAAACCCACAAGTGAAAGCATATTTGTTTGTCTACTTCAGGGCGGCCAAAACACAGTAGCAGTGGAATTAATGAAGGTATGTTTCAACCTCCCCTATTTTTTCCCTTGTTAAGATTTAAGCAACCCTTACACTGTCCATCTTCCCGAGGCAAGAGAGTTAACTGGCTTTAAAAGTCCAGTTTCCACCCTTGCCGAACTATGCTGGAATTCCTGGGTTCGATCGTAGCCCACCAGTATCTATTACGAGTTATGTCAGTTCTATGCCTCTCCTATGGACAAATCAGATTCCACCTCTCATGTCACTTGCATTTGCTTCAAATAAAATGGCGACACCAAGTCAAGACGATAATGAAGATCTATATTGTGATGAAACGGGTCTTACATCGTGAAGTGCATCAAAGCATGTGAGCACCTTGATAAAAAAACATGAAAATATTTGGAAAATATCTGTTGACAACGAGTTGGCAGTGCACATGCTTTGCAAATCGACCGAAATCTGCATGACAGTTTAAGAACCGGATTTCGATTTCGTAGCACGATTGTGATTGGACTATGCATAGACTCGTTAGTCCAGCCAAAATATTACTCCATAATACCAGCCTAGTTTGGCAAGGGTGGAAACTGGACTTTTATAGTCAGTTAACTCTCTTGCCTCGGGTAGATGTACACTGTCCATCCACTTAAGCCAAACCTCTACAGTCCACTCAACCCGTTTTCGAACCATCTCCCTCATCCCCCAACATCAACTCACCCCAGATGAGTGTGACTCACCCTGTTGTCCGTGTCTGAACCATCTCCCTCATCCTCCCAACATCACCTCACCCCAGATGAGTGTGACTCACCCTGTTGTCAGTATCTGAACCATCTCCCTCATCCTCCCAACATCACCTCACCCCAGATGAGTGTGACTCACCCTGTTGTCCATGTCTGAACCATCTCCCTCATCCCCCAAACATCACCTCACCCCAGATGAGTGTGACTCACCCTAATGTCCGTGTCTGAACCATCTCCCTCTTTCCCCCAACATCACCTCACCCCAGATGAGTGTGACTCACCCTGTTGTCAGTATCTGAACCATCTCCCTCATCCTCCCAACATCACCTCACCCCAGATGAGTGTGACTCACCCTGTTGTCCATGTCTGAACCATCTCCCTCATCCCCCAAACATCACCTCACCCCAGATGAGTGTGACTCACCCTATTGTCCATGTCTGAACCATCTCCCTCATCCTCCCAACATCACCTCACCCCAGATGAGTGTGACTCACCCTGTTGTCAGTATCTGAACCGTCTCCCTCATCCTTCCAACATCACCTCACCCTAGATGAGTGTGACTCACCCTGTTGTCCATGTCTGAACCGTCTTCCACATCCTTCCAACATCACCTCACCCCAGATGAGTGTGACTCACCCTGTTGTCCGTGTCTGAATCGTCTCCCTCATCCTCCCAACATCACCTCACCCCAGATGAGTGTGACTCACCCTGTTGTCCATGTCTGAACCGTCTCCCTCATCCTCCCAACATCACCTCGCCCCAGATGAGTGTGACTCACCCTGTTGTCTGTATCTGAACCATCTCCCTCATCCTCCCAACATCACCTCACCCCAGATGAGTGTGACTCACCCTGTTGTCCATGTCTGAACCATCTCCCTCATCCCCCAAACATCACCTCACCCCAGATGAGTGTGACTCACCCTGTTGTCCATGTCTGAACCATCTCCCTCATCCCCCAAACATCACCTCACCCCAGATGAGTGTGACTCGCCCTGTTGTCCGTGTCTGAACCATCTCCCTCACCCTCCCAACATCACCTCACCCCAGATGAGTGTGACTCACCCTATTGTCCATGTCTGAACCATCTCCCTCATCCTCCCAACATCAACTCACCCCAGATGAGTGTGACTTACCCTGTTGTCTGTATCTGAACCATCTCCCTCATCCTCTCAACATCACCTCACCCCAGATGAGTGTGACTCACCCTGTTTTCCGTGTCTGAACTGATGCCTCCCTCCCTGCAGGTGCTTCTTCTGGCAGAGACAAGGTTCTGATCTCAGGAAAGAAGCCCAGCCCCTACAAGCAGCACATCTCCAGCAGCCCCAGGGTCCCCATCCCACTGCCGGCAAATCAAACATACACCGGGCTAGACAAACAGTCCCTGGTCATCAAGCCTGGCTACCTCCCCCAGAACTGGACCTACGTTGTCCAGGTCTCGGCCAAAGCCCAAGGTAAATATGCCCGCTCCTCCGAAGACTGACCCATGCATGTCACCTTCTCCCTGCTGTAAACCTCTCAATTATTTCTGTTAACCGCGAAGTCAGATCTCTTTTGTACAACGCTGTTGTGGAGAGAGGAATTTCTAAGGAATCTGATTATTGCCATCTGTGATCGTGGGATAAAATTACCAATAAACACCAGATTCATCAGAAATTACTTGATCTTGCTGTGTTGTGTGACAACGTTCTTCTAACACCTAGACAACATCACTCATAGGCTGACTTTGCTATGTTCAATATATCTGTAAAACTGATATTCTGAAAGAGAATGTCACTACATTATTTTGACTTTGTGGCTAGAAAGAAAAGACATGAAGGGTCTTTACAGGGGATGAGAAACAGAGTTCTCCCAGAGTTGTTTTTGTGTTAAACACTAAAAAATGGGTATCATAAATGATGTTTCTGACATCAGCAGAGCCTGGGACACCCAAGTTTAACTCTATCCTGAATGTGTAGCGTCAGCAGACTGTCTATACAAACAATACAGCATTTGTAATCACACTTCGACAAGTCTGTAGCTCTACCAGATTGTTAACCTTGTCACAGTTTAGAAGGTTTACGGCCTGCTTGAAAAAATCTTATTTGGAGGGAGGTGGTGTCACATTTAACTGATTTGTGTATCTTGGGTCAAAATTGTCTTAATTCCTGTGTTTGCCAAGCAGCTGCAGGAAATGAAGTGGTTCAGTCATTAGTTCTATGTTTAGACATTTACACCTTTGGTAACCTAATCAGTGCTGGCCATCACGGGGACAATTGCCACTGTGTGTCAATATCAGGGCCAGCTTTGTCAATATCGGCATTTCTGCTTGAAAAGATGTGGACATTAGATTGAGATTATCTGATAGGATTTTCCCACTTTTTATCCGACAGTTTTTGGTTAATTTGTAATACTTTCACAGAGGAGTCTCCTGTGAACATTTTGTTGCTCTCTGTGGGATATTATGGTGTTGAATTATTAGAATCAGTATTTGCTGAGATGATAACAATTATGATTTGTGATCATAATTGTTATGAATTTCAACTCCTTGATGTTGAATTACATTTTTAATAAGTCAGTCGTCAAACTATTCTAAGAGTTATGAAGACATCATTGCCAAATGAATGCTGTGCAATGCTATGCAATGTTTACCGACCTCTTACAATGATATTTTGAATCCTAATTCCACTGTATTTGGTGTGTCTTGGAATAGCAAGTTGTGCACTAAAGACATGTGGCTTCATTGTTAGTAGAAAGCAGTTTCAGTCATTACAGACAATAGGTATCGTGCTCCATGATACCATAGTATGAAGTCTTAGTGACCATGATAGTATTTCTAAAAAAAGTGGGATTTTGAGAATTTATGCGTAACATTAATTATAGGCCAAGGTGAATTCAAATGGAAATATAAATCCAAGTCAACCTCCAGTCTTTGGAGGGCATTTAGAAGTGATACACATAAGGAAGAGAATTTATGGATGTCAATTTCTTTATCATGAGGAACATAACATTTCGAGTATATACTTACTCCTTCATCACCTGATGAAGGAGGAAGTATATACTCCAAAATGTTGTGTTCCTCATGATAAAGAAATTGACATACATGAATTCTCTTCCTCAAGCCAGCCTCATTTTGAACTGTACCTTTCTGTATAACCAGATGAAATAAGTTTTGTGTTGATGAGGTCATTTTCAAGATATTGTTTATTCTATTTTCTTTTTCAAGAAAAAAATCCATTAAAACATAATAATTAATATAATGTGACTTGATACATAAATATATGTACAATATGCCTTAAAAGGCTCTCATTTTTTATTCTGCCTTGAAAAGGCTTTAAAATTTGATAAAGATTCTTGAAAAGGCATTTGATTTGACATTTGTGGTTAACTCTGCTTTGAAATAAGTATACATTCTTTATTACTATTTTCTTTCGTAAGAGGCGACTAACGGGATCGGGTGGTCAGGCTCATGCTGCATGTCATCGATCCCAATTGCGTGAATCAATGTTCATGATGTCAATCACTGGATTGTCTGGTCCAGGCTCGCTTATTTACAGACCGCCATCATATAGCTGGAATACTGCTAGGTGCAGCATTAAACAACAAACAAACAAAACTATTTTCTTTCTGATAATCGATGATGACGGCACCATGTTGCGTGAGATCAGTCAATAACTTGATTAATAAATACTACTGAAAACCCTGGTATATTGGGATGTACTTACAAATGATGCAACCCGTGAAAATCTGGGTTAGAATTAGCAACCAATGCTTGTTGTAAGGGGCGACTATGCTTGTTGTAAGGGGCGACTATGCTTGTTGTAAGGGGCGACTATGCTTGTTGTAAGGGGCGACTAACAGGATCGGGTGGTCAGGATTGCTGACTTGGTTGATACAAGTCATCATATCCAAATTTGTAGATCAATGCTCATAATATAAATCACTCACTTGTCTGGTTCAGATTTGATTATTTACTGACTGCTGTCATATAGCTGAAATATTGCTGAGTGCAACGTTAATTATGCCATTCTGATATTGAAAAAATATATGTCATGTTAATCTGTTTAAAAGCACATTTTTTGGCCTTGAAAACTGTAATGATTGCCTTGATTTTGTAAAGGAATACTAAAATTGATGTTGATTTTCTAAGATACATGTGATTAAAGAGTGATTAAAGAACTGACAAAATTTGAGAGGTTAACAGTGCTGAAAAGAGATGATTTTTAAAAAACAAAGAAAACTTGTGCAGACAGTATTACATACAAAGGCATTGTGTGTTCATACCCAGAGGGAAAGTGAAATACTTGGACACTAACATATGGCTATGTGGGGAAACTTTAACACAGACTCTTCCCCAATCGGCTGTGGAAACAGCGAAATGGATGTTCTTATCGCAATTTGAACCTTGTGATGTTTGTCTGCAAATACCGGCCACAATATTGCTGATTATTAACGATATTAATGACAGGACTAAACCAACAATCTGCCCTCTGGAATGTGCCTGACTGACAAGTATGTGCCCTGAACTCAGACTCGCTGCATAGCGGACATGATTTAGAGGTGGCACAGGAACTAGAAATTAATTGACATCCAACATCATCCTAATTCTTTGCTGGTTTGCGCGATAATGGACATGTACAGGGTATTTGTTCATTAGGAGGTATTTGTGGATATTCCGATCCAACCACTTTGAAATGTAGACGAAATTGATCAAGCTACCAACGCCAAAATCCACAGGGATTGTTTTGATTTGGGTCAATATGCAGAGGCAGGGATATGAAGGGCTTTCTGCTTTGTGATATTGTATTGCTTAACTATACTTGTGTAGGGAGAGGTTGCAGTCTCATCATGGTGATAACTGGAGAATATTGCGAGATGTGAGAACATGAAAGATAGTCTCTGGAGTGATGAATTGTGAAGGAAATGAATGCAAGATCGGTCAAAATACAATGTTTTCCCAGGAAATTAAGCCAATTATTCGATTCTATGCTTGCCTGTGTCAGTATTTCTTCTGCTGGAACATATTTCACAAGAACGTATGTTGCTTCATAGATTGTCCCTTGTAATAGAGTCAAACATTTTCTCCGAGGAACATTCAATATTTGAGATGCAGTCCATCTGATCCTCATCTTTGATGTCAGTTTTTCACGCCTCCCTGTTAATACCAGAGTATAGTTGTAGGGCTTGTTTGATTGTCAGTATTTGACATCAGTGCCCATAGTCTTGTGACAAGCTTGGCAGCTGACTTTCACGTTTAGAAAGCATCTATAAAAAAATTCTGCTAGTCAGTGTCACCATTGATGTCAATAAATTTACAGTGCTAAATGTTTGTTGGTCCCCTGAAAGTTGGTAGTGGTCTAAAGTACTTTGGAAAATTATGTCAGTGGGAAAAAGTGAGGTTTGATATTTACCTTGTAAAAAGCGCATCTTTGAAACTAGAGGAGCCTTAATTAGCCAGATGCAACAGTATTGACATCTTGACGTCTTGAAGGGAACAGTTTTGGCATCTCGACATCTTGAAGATGGACAGTAGTGACACCTTGAAGGGAACAGTAGTGATATCTTGAAGGGTAGAGAGGGGATGTAACTGTGATGTTGTGAGGGGAACAGTATTGATATGATGTAAAAGGTTTGAAGTGAGGGGAACAGTATTGATATGATGTAAAAGGTTGGTGATGTTGTGAGGGGAACAGTATTGACACAATGTAAAAGGTGTTAAAATGATGTTATTTGCAGGTATGGAGGCGTCCTGGGCTGAGGTATACTTCCATGTCAATCGGAGTCCCAGCAAGGGCACATGCTCCGTGCGACCACTGACCGGAATCGAAATGGACACCCAGTTCACTGTCTTCTGTCTGGAATGGAAAGATGAGGTTAGTCAAACATTTCGATTCTTATTTGTTGCCATATCTAAAAATACATTACATCAAACACACTTCAGTTAATGTTATGGAAAGACACATTACTATAGAAACTGTTGAAACTGACTGGAACGAAAAAGGAACGAAAAAGGAACTAAAGAAATCTTTAATTCAGAATTTTTGTTGTTGTAAACCTGGATTAAATCTCTGTGTCATCTTATGAATCTGCCATGTTATTTGCTAGTCTGGTTGTGTTTGTCTCGTACCACTGTTGCCATAGTAATGATGTGACCCTGGTATCTCCCATCCAAATCCTTCCTATTCACCCTCAGCAGCCATCTTGACCGACCAATCCCTTACCCCATTGCCTCTCATGAACTGCTGGGATCTTATGAATCCTCTTTGCATCTCATGCATGTTTGCCCAGTGGGGATGTCAAGGCAGAATTGGCCCTCAAACCTGTCAAATGAGCCGAAAACACTAGGGTTAGGAAATCCAGACTCTGTGACTTTGCTGATTGTGTGTCATCACTATCATTATGCTTCTCAGTCACTGACGTGCTAGGTCCGGACTTGATTATTTACAGGCTTACATGATACAGTTGAAACTCAATTATTTACAGGCTTACATGATATAGTTGAAACTCAATTATTTACAGGCTTACATGATACAGTTGAAACTCAATTATTTACAGGCTTACATGATACAGTTGAAACTCAATTATTTACACGCTTACATGATATAGTTGAAACTCAATTATTTACAGGTTTACATAAACAGTTGAAACTCAATTATTTACAGGCTTACATGATATAGTTGAAACTCAATAATTTACAGGATTACCTGATATAGTTGAAACTCAATTATTTACAGGTTTACATGATACAGTTGAAACTCGATTATTTACAGGATTACATGATATAGTTGAAACTCAATTATTTACAGGCTTACATGATACAGTTGAAACTCAATTATTTACAGGCTTACATGAAATAGTTGAAACTCAATAATTTACAGGCTTACATGATATAGTTGAAACTCAATTATTTACAGGATTACCTATTAGTAAACTAGTGTTGACTCATCAAACAACAACCAAAGATGTGAGAGGTGGTTTAGCTAGTCAGGACTGACCCCATCATCTTCTATTCCAGCACCTGCCGCTGATCTACGAAGTCGGCTACAGCATGGGAAAGGGACAGAGGACGTCCATCATCTACCGAGGGGCGAGTCACGAGATCAACTTCTATCTGCCAGCAGGACACCCATCCGATAACTACACAGGTATGTCCATTCACTGCTTCTGGTCTGAAGTAATTACTTACATCCCAGGATGTCATGACATGAGTCACTTCACACCAGCTCAGGCAGCAGGATGGGCTCCGGCAGTCAGTGGGAGACTCATTTAGATGCCATTAATCATATCCATTTGAAAAAATTACTTTTTTATGTCATGCTTATTTCATGATTGCATGCAAGGCCATGGAATGTATGCTGCCTTTCTGGGAATGATGACTTTGTTTTCTAGTCTTCTCATATTGAAGACTGCCTCTGTGGTCTAGTCGACTGAAGAGTGGAAGGTCAGGGCTTCAGTCCCCTGGGCCATGTCATACCAAGAGACAATAACAGATGGTACTTGTTGTTACGCCGTATGATGCTTGTCATTAAGGGAATAAAACAAGGACTGGTCGGTTCAGAGGCAGTATGCTGTGTCTGAGTGGGGTATCAGTGTTAAACTAAGGCATGGTATCTGAGTGTCTGAGTGGATAATACTGGCGCAAGTGCCGACATGTACAAGCAGCCACACACATGTGCATGCATGTCTGTAGGAAAGGCCAAGAATCTATCACGCTATAACCCAATAACGCTATGTTAAACCCTGTTCACCTTTACATATTCAGCCTCACTCTCGAAAACTGTTGCCCGTGCATCAGAAGCAACCTATTTAAATCATGTTATTTCTTTATCAAAGCATTAAATTACATTTCTGACTCTGACTTGTTGGCAATGTTTTAAAGTTTGAAGACCATAGGTCACACATTCACATCAAAATTTAAAGAAGAAAAATGTCTGTTTTTATAAGTGAAAGTCAGGACAGATGTAGAGAGTATTGATTAGGCAATCAGTCCTCTGCACTGTCTTCATCAAATTATTACATACAGACTGTTATGATTAATTTCCCCATCACCAAATGTGATTATGTGTTTTCATGTTAGGTGGGGTTGAGATGAAATTATCTTTGATATATGTATCGTGTTGCAAATTGTATTGAAAGACTGATGTGAACATTGGTCTTCTATTGTCAAGTAAATTGCTGTACTATTAGTTGCCATAGTTTCGTTCAGGGTTTACTGAGATGAAACACGGGGAATGAAGTTTCTGCAACATGTATGTGTACCTTCAAGGTAAATTGAGGGCCCATGTGGCCTAGTCGTCAAACAAGCTGCAATTCTCTGTGCAGAGTAGCATCCCCGAGTGATGCCAGAAATCTTTGTTTGATGGTTCAGATTGGGGCTTGGTGGTCCGTCCTAGTGGTCCTAGTGGAGAAGATGTAACCTGTTTTACTGTGATCTTACCTCTCATATAACACAAACTAACTGAAGTACTGGGGACAACAGCATTTACAACAGTACAAATTTGTACTGACCAAGTTTATTATCACTATATTGATTTCTCCACATTCACAAACTGTGTTGATTTCTCCACATTCACAAACTGTGTTGATTTCTCCACATTCACAAACTGTGTTGATTTCTCCACATTCACAAACTATGTTGATTTCTCCACATTCACAAACTGTGTTGATTTCTCCACATTCACAAACTGTGTTGATTTCTCCACATTCACAAACTATGTTGATTTCTCCACATTCACAAACTGTGTTGATTTCTCCACATTCACAAACTATGTTGATTTCTCCACATTCACAAACTATGTTGATTTCTCCATATTCACAAACTGTGTTGATTTCTCCACATTCACAAACTGTGTTGATTTCTCCACATTCACAAACTGTGTTGATTTCTCCACATTCACAAACTGTGTTGATTTCTCCACATTCACAAACTGTGTTGATTTCTCCACATTCACAAACTATGTTGATTTCTCCACATTCACAAACTGTGTTGATTTCTCCACATTCACAAACTATGTTGATTTCTCCACATTCACAAATTAAAATAATTTCTTCATATTCAATGACTATATTGATTCCTCCACATTTACTATATTCCTCTACATTCACTAAATATATTGATTCTCTTACATTTATTATTTGTAAAAATAGTTGATTTCTTCGTAAATACTAAATTATATTGATTCCTCCACATTCACTAATTATAGATATATATATATTCCTCCGCATTCACTAAACATATCACTTCGCTGAAGGGGTACTGTGTAATTTTTTTCTGCGCATAATATTTGAAAAAATATTCAAAAATACGGAATCTGCTAGAAGGGTGTGTGCATTATTACACATAACTGTCAAACATTCTTCGGAGGAACAGATTGTACAATTTAACTTTCAGCTACATGCATTGGCTAGTTTGTTCTCAACACATTGTCACTGAAAAGACCTTTACACCAAAGTGTTGCTGTTTAGAAATGTCCCCAGTTGTGGATATGGTACTGTGAACAGGAAAATGAGACCTAAAAAGCACATGGACATTTTCTAATAAAACTGAAACTAACAGTGACAGTGTTTGAGTGCTTTCGTAGATTTTAGTGTTTGATAATAGCTGTTTACACTGATGGTTAGGTTGTCTTGATGGCTGACATATTGTATTCTTGAGGGGTGGTCATTATAGAAAACAGGCAGTAAGATTGAGAGCCATCACTCTGTAGTTTCATGTAGTCCATAAACCAATGGAAACTGGTTCTGAAGTCTTATTCAGTCAGTCAGTGTTGAACACACTCATGGTTTCTTTATTCGTCTTCCCTTTTTTTATAGAATTAATGTTTTGCCAAACAGCTTCACCTATCGTCTCTACATTATTAATCACAATGCAGTATAAAATGCCTAGTTTGACCAAGAACAAAGCTATTTTGGGTTACTTCTTGGCTGTCAGCTTTTTAAATATGCAGAAAGTTTGTATTATAACCATTGCATTATTTTCTTTGTTTCATGTCAAACATTTATGATGAAACCTAGACCATTCTTACGCTCACGTTAGACTTTTTGAGTGGTTTTGCACTCTCCCATCAGGACCACAGTGTATGATGCATGCTACACGGGGATGGCAGCAGCCATGAACCCTGATTTCCACTGAGTGTTCAGAGAGCGATGGAGACTGATTTCATCAATAATTAACCATTCATTGATCAAGCAGAATTTACACAGGTCACTGAAGTATGTGTGCTCTTGTCTTGATATGGGTGTGGATATCATTCTTCAAAAACAAACAGTAATTAATTAGTAAAACAAATTGGTTTTGGTTCAACTATTGGCACTGCAGTGGTTTTACTTGAAGGTCTCCGCTGACTTTGAAGTGGAATAGATGTGGAATCACATTCTTTGGTCATTAGGGTTTTGTAGGTCTGTAATTTTGCTAGTACAGCAAAATGTTAAACTGTGTTTGTAAAACCCTTTTAGAATACAGGCAAGAAATAGAGTATGATATGACTGTTGTTCTGTCAATAATAAATGAAATGAAATAAATACCTTACTTTAATAATAAATAAATGAGTTCAAAATTTATCACTAAATTCAAGAAATTTTGCACAACAGTTCAATGAATACATTTTCATTTGAGATTTTAACTGGCTGTTTTAGTACCATGCACAGTATGTGATCAATGACAGTTATAGAGTGTGTGAATGATTTTGGATAATGCAGTAATAAACACTACCACAGCTTTGCTATTAACAGCCTGGACCAATGAAACCAGTTGTGAATGGTGTAAGCATCGATCCATGTCTCAGGAGGACGATATTATTGTCAAACGGGACTGGGGACCTGTTCATCCCTGAGACTCCATTTGGGCAAGGGGAACACAGGTTGCCCAGTCATCTCAGGTGCTGCGATTCGCTGTGCAGAGTTGCGTCCCTTGGGCACGCCAGAAACCTATGATCGTGGGTTCGAATCCTGATTTGCCCTAAATATGTTTCTAGGTTTGTCAGCACCATACCTGTGCTCGTGGGTTTTCACCAAAGTGGTAAACGTCTGAGACCTGCATCACTTTGGGCTTTCCTCCCACATTAAGCTGACACGCCACGATATAACTGGAATACTGTTAAAAGCGGCTTTAAACACAACTCACTCACTCCCTCACTCCCATTGGGGCAGTGTTTATAGTGTTTGAAAGATGACAGATCAAGTTTTGAAAGCAAAAGGATAATGGTACCGGATGAAATTTGTTTTAACATTGTTGATATTGACTTGAGGAGTTGCCTCTCTTAGTTATGCCATGATCTGATGATGTTGGGTTTGAATCCCTAATTCTCTCCAATTATGACACATTGTGTTTCTAGGTTTGTCAGCACCATACCTGTGCTCGTGGGTTTTCACCAAAGTGGTAAACGTCTGAGACCTGCATCACTTTGGGCTTTCCTCCCACATTAAGCTGACACGCCACGATATAACTGGAATACTGTTAAAAGTGGCTTTAAACACAACTCACTCACTCCCTCACTCCCATTGGGGCAGTGTTTATAGTGTTTGAAAGATGACAGATCAAGTTTTGAAAGCAAAAGGATAATGGTACCGGATGAAATTTGTTTTAACATTGTTGATATTGACTTGAGGAGTTGCCTCTCTTAGTTATGCCATGATCTGATGATGTTGGGTTTGAATCCCTAATTCTCTCCAATTATGACACATTGTTACTTGGTACCTTACCCTGCTCATGGGTTTTATCAATGTTATTAATTTCCATCTCCATACTTCCATGTACATTAAGTTGCCACACCCATGACAAGAGGAATACTGTTCAAAGCAGGGCTAAACCCAACCCCCTCACTCAAATTTAATTATGAAACTGCTGGTTTTTATCCCAATTAATGCTATAGCTAGTCAAGTCATTATCATGAGCACTTCAAAGTTTGGATGCTTTCAACAGGATGGCCTCCACCGAACGACATTGACTTCAAAGATGATATCCCATCTCCTGAGACAAATACGAACATTATGTACCCGGGTTATATCACTGTACCATGTTCAACCAATGTTAACTTGGATCTTCATCGAGGTATATTGAATAGACATTTTCTAGTTGAGTCAAGTATGGCCTCTGTGAGGTTCGTCGAGGCATGGAGAGGGAACAATTGATTAGTTTTACATCATG